GAGAGAGAGAGAGAGAGAGAGAGAGAGAGAGAGCGCAAGGAAAGAGAATTAGTTGTAGATATTCTACTCGGCTGAAAATCCATAAGTAAAATAAAAACTTAACTGACGCTTCATGGAGACATATCTGCGTAGAAATTTATTGAAAGTAAATTACAGACTGGTCCCCACAAACCTTTGCCTCATTAAGCGTCTGTGTACAATGCTTTCTGAGTGTTCAACAATCTAATAGATACGTATTATAAATAAAAGAAAAACTCAAATATTAGTGTTAAAACGTAGATATTCGTTTTATAATATATCTACAATGATAAGAGGTTGCGACATTGTAACATTTAGACTCAACAATGAAAGTAAGCAAGATCGGAATCAAATTAAAGTGCATTAGACAATTCATATGAGAGCGTAAGTTATGTAAGTAGTGTTTGCCACAACAGACTTATCCTCTATATAGTATATTCCCCGTTTTAATCCTAATAGATTACTTCTTCATGCAATCTGTCGAATCCCGTATCGAAATAGCCCATCTCTTGCATTTCAACTATTCACTCGTATCATACACTTCGACTGCATCTTTCTTAAATTATTTCTTACAACTAAGATAAACAAGCAAATGTAATAAATGAATGTCACAATTATGTATTATTATTATCATCATATTTTGCTGCAATAAATATATATCAGTGCGATTGCGCCTACATTTTTTTGCTAATAATAATGGCTATTTTCTAGGAGACATTAGAAAGAAATGCAAATTGCAAAGTCACCAGTACGGATTGGCCTTTTTCAATTAATCTTGCGGTATACATAATATAATGCGGCATCGCGAAATCTTCCTCAAACTGATTCATCGATGGTTTTTCTTGGACGTGTTTAAAGTATTGTGCAAAATAAAATTTACAAAGGGATATTTACACGTGCTAAATATTTTTTACGTTTATATAATGTACGCTGCGACTCTATGTTAACAGAGCTTTTGGAATGCAACCAATGTCCGGTAAAAAAATTTTTCATTTAAAAACATGAGCATCTACCAACTATTTATATGAGAAATGTTTTACTGATTAATTATTTTCGACGTGATGCCACAGCCGAATTTTGCTTGCGACGTTTTTCCTTGTCCCAAGTGGATGGCACAAAAAGTTGTTTGTAGAGTTGGTTCCACATTACGTAACTACATCCGACTAATTCGGGCATGAAGACATAAAGACTTGCCTGTACACGGTGGTCCGTTCGATAATTATTGAATAGATGGTTTCGACATTGTTTAAAAGAAAATGTCTAGATTTAAATTGACTAAGAATGTAATTCATTCTTTAATTAAATCAATTAAGTTGAATAAAATTAATCATACGGCCGTAAACCACGAAAGGATAGCCGATAGCGCCGGATTTTAATATACACTCCGTATATTAAAATTGAAAATTAATCTCTCGGGGGGGGGGGGGGAAATAACGTCTTTCCACGCGACGATTCGCGAGAGGTGGGTCTTTCCGCACGGACGATACCCGTAACAAGGTAAGGAAAATAAAAACTCGTAATGATCCCGCTGATGCAGCCGCGTGTTTATCTTTACAAGTAGCTTCATGATCGAAAATGCGCGGCGGCGTCGACGTCGCGTCACTCGTAAATCGCGTGTGTGCGTCAAACGTGAGAAAAAAAGCCAGCTCGTAATGTATGCTAAAACGTTTCTGGTCCGCTCTATGAGCCGGTAATGAACTTAATGAGTTTTGGTATCGTAAGTGCGCTTTTTTCCACGATTATGATCTCACAGCGAATGTGGAGGATCGCGGAGCGGCGACTTAACGAGCCATTCACGTGCTCATGAATAACCACTGAAACCTGACGCGCGGGGTAGAGGCCGAAATGCGTAACATAATCGTGAGAAGAAGGCCGTTTCTCTCATTCAAGAGTACCAGCAGATGTCTCGGACCCTTCCGTCGTCGAGGGAATCGACTTAAAAAAAAAATTAGATAACAGCATCTTTTTTTTCATTTGCAGGTCCGGCCGTTAATTAAGCAGCCGCTATTATAGATACGCCTGTATCTTCACGACTGCAGTGGAGAGTTGCCCTCGGATAAATTCGATCTACGACGGAAAAACACGTTTTGTGATCGGGACGACGAAATTTAATGTTTATAAACGGTAGCAGAACTTGTCGCATTTGCGAAAGCAAGTTTGCAGGAAGTACTCTTACTCTTCGGGATACTCGAGATGAATCGACAAGAGGAAACGCCCCAAGTGACCTAACGGCAAGGAGCCTGAGCAGAATGGCTGTCTCGTACTCTTAAGACAATGTTTTATGTTTTAAATCTTTGTCTTAAAGTAACGCACAATAACTGTCTTGTGACTTAAGAATACAAGACGGCCATTCCGCTCAGGATTAAATGTACAGGTACTCTTTAATTCCATACGGAAATATAATCCATTTGTGCAGATCTGTAGTTTCAATTATAACAGAGCATACAAATCGCTTGCTTCAGTTTTTCCTTCATGCTCTCGGTGTCCTGAGAATTACACGTTAGATAGGAATAATAATTCGAAATCACTACTATTCGTAATTATCCGCGATAACGCAAAAAAAGTAGCGGAACCCAATGCAGTTGGGTTATCGCGGATAATTGCGGATAATTTTATTATTATTCCTCAGTCGTTATCGTTCGTAATATTTATATATTTCTATTCCCTTTTCTTGCGTGCGCAAATACATTCGAATTGAGTTTCTTGTCGGAAATCAAGAACAGGCGAGCTGGTACCTGTTTTCTCAAGAAAAAGATGGAATTTCCGTGGCTGCATGTTCTGCAGGATTTCGAAAATGGTGTCGAATAGTTGCTGTATCAGCGCAATCGTTTGTGGTTAACGTGAGAATTTAATATTCAAATCATTATTTGTCGACGCGTACGGTAACTTCGGAAAGAAGTTTTATGTTAGCATTGAATTGAATATCATTTTTAATCTCTCAAAACTTGACAGATAGTTTGTATTGTGTTTTAATTTTATTGCTTTGAATAATTTTGTGGTTCCAAGTAAATCGAAGTGGCAAAATTAATTTTTTCTTCGTAAGGGTACATTTTCGAGGAAAAGATATTTGAAAATTGATCGAGTGTAAGAAGAATTGAAGAATTGAGAGGGCAGAAAGTATGCTTTAGAAATAATTGATTCTAATTGCAAAATATAATTTTGTATGCGATAAAATGGCCAACATTTTCCATATCTCGAATATTGAATAAGTAAATAAGAAACAAGTGTAAGAAGTAAAAGTATTTTTTATCTCACACAAATTCACTTCTTGGTCTTAAAAATCAATCGTGCTTAAATTAGTTAGTCCTGGCAGCAAACAAACTGTGCAGACGTCTGTAGCGAAAATTAATTGTTCAAACTAATCAAGTATTCGAGTAACTTGCGAAGTTCTTTTTCCCGAAAATAAGGCCTTGTTCGAAAGTAAAAAAAAAGAAAAGTATTTATTCTATTAGTTCGACTTATTTTGAACTGTAGAATCACTTTCCTTCATGTTGTACCGTATATTTCATTCAGTTCGTCCTGTAGATACCAAACAATAGGAAGTGTTAAAAAAGTTTAGCTTTCAGATAATTTTAATTATTTATCTGGATTTGATTTGATCTTCAATTTGAGGGAAACAACATATCGGCCAAACAATTATAAATCCGTAGTTCCTTTGATCTAAACACACGTGTGAAATTTTTGTTGATTACATATACGTTATTTTTGCACAAGAAAAGTGGTAAGAGATATCATTTTCCATTCGGACAGCGAGATAAAAGATTTATGTTTCTTGCTGATTATGCATTTTAAGAAACGTTTTATGCAGAATGATTTATTCATCTTTGGGTCACAATTTTTTTTATCACTTTATGAAAATTCAAATTTCGTCGAACATGCACATAGCACGTACACATACACCGAGTCAAAATTTAAACAGTAAATGCAAGTGATCGTAGATTCTTTTGATATAAATGAATGACGACAGACGAGTGCGCGTGGGATTGGTTCATTAAATAAATATCTGCTCTTGCATATCGTTCACTTTGTGCTAAATACGCAAATTATAAATCATTGCGTCGAGAAAGTATCAAAAAGTCACCACTGACGGAAGTCACGAATTATCTCGCTTAACTATTTCGATCATACGCATTGCTTTAATCTTTCAAGACGATTAGAGAATTCCTTGTTATGTATGTTAACTTTGTGCTAAGTAGGCAAATTATAAATCGTTGCATCGAGAAAATATCAAAAAGTCTCCCCGATGACAGAAGCCGCGAACTATCTCACTTAACTATTTCGATTACACGCGTGGCTTTAATCGTTTAAGCCGATTAGAGGATTTCTCGTACTTCCCCGTTTTTATCGCGATGCGATGATGTAAAAATATAGAAGCACAACTTGCTCGAAATTCTCAGAAAATAATAATTTGAAAAACAAAAGACTGTCGTGGCAAAATATCATATTTCCTTAATATAAGATTAATTAATGGCTTCTTCACGTTGTGCAAATCACGCGCGAATGCTGATAGTAGTGTTTTATAAAAATTGAGATAAAAACAAATTAATCTCGAGAAATTTGCGGTTCTAATAAAACCACGAGTCTTTCCAGCATGAATAACAAAAGTCTTTTATCTATTGTATGTGTGAGAATGAGAATACACCTTATACTTAATATTTTTCCTACAGTTTAATTTACATAATGCACTTTATAGATTTGCTTTTCGTAGAATGTACATTTCTTGTTATATTCATTTATATATGTATGTTGTATTTATATGATTATATATGGGCGTTTTTTTCTCATTTCCTAAAACTTTATTTTTTATTAAAAAAATACAAAAATTATTCTTTTAATTTATTTTTAATACTTTTTTTTGTGTAGAAATGAGATATTAGTGAAAGAAAATATACATGAACATATTTTATGTAATTATATATATGTGCATGTTTTTATATGCAAAATTTTTTTATGGAGAGTCTATAATTGAATAATCTTGTTAATATTACTGAAACAAACATGTCGTATTCTTGTTTTAATAAAATATTACGTTTTTTATTAATATTGTTTTGGACTTAACAAGATCATATTCAGTGAAACTAATGCTCGTATTTTCCTTTCCATGTATAATATTACATGTAATACATATCGTGCGTGATTATCTGAGATCTAAATAAGCGTAGCGCAATTTGCTTCATCGTTTATGACACATAGATAGGCAATCAAGTAAGAATATTTTTAAAAAATGCATATTAATAATTGATAAGAAATTACGTTTCGTTCTTTACCTTGTAACTTACTGGCGAATAAAAATCATATTTTTTACAATTGACTTATAGGTATTTTATGCCAGAACTGGTGTACCGTCTGTTTTGCATATGTACATTTTACATCCAATTTATTCTAGAACTACATAACATGTAATAAATATCAATTATTTCCTCTATCGCTCTTATATTTTCAAGTACTAGACTACGGTAATCTATAACGGGATCTAAAAAAGTTTTTAATGTTTTATTTTTTGTGTTTTGAATGTGGCCTTTGACGAAGATTTTATCTTAATATCTGCTATAATGTAAATTATATAGCGCGTTTTGTTAGCTAACGTATTGTAAAGAATTTTTTCTATTCAAATATTAAAATATTAAAATAATATTAAAATTGTTGTTGAGACTAAAATGAAATAATATTTGGAAATATCAAATGCTTGTAACTTTCTTTTGCTAAATTTTTTTTTAAACTGACCTAATTCCCATTGTAAAATAAATATATTTAACTAAATATACATATATTTTTTAATGTTCATACTTTTGTATCAGCTGTTTAAAATACACGTGTGATTATTTGTTCAATATTTGTCAATTATTAAAATTATTAAAATATTGAAAAATGATATTGAATTCCGCGTTTTTAACTTTCGAGAGATACTGCATACGTTTTTCTTTACATAATTTGTGAAAATAGAAAACTCACAATTATTATTGACAAAGTGGATACCTCTTACTACACGTTATTAACGATTGACACAAGTGATAAATCTGTGAAATGACATTGAGATTCATCAAGATAAATCCAAGCTGGAGGCTGCAAATGACCTTAGTAAATGTTTTACATTACTGTGTCATATCCTGTGGCTGTTTGAACGGAAAATCGCTAAACCATTGACGATGTCAATGACCAAACATATATTTAACGTATGTTTAGCACATCACTTATTTACAGTAATAAGGGCCAGTTTTTACAACCTCTTGGTAAGCTAACCAATAGTTAAATTATATGTCTATGGGCCGGTTGTTCCAACCTCTCGATAAGTTAGCTAATAGTTAATTTATATGTCTTTGTTTTTCCTTCAATTAGACAAAGATAGACATATAATTTAATTATTAGTTAACTTACCTAATCAAGAGGTTGGAAAAACCGGCTGTAGCTTTTTTTAGTTTAAAGGAAAAACGAAGACATACATGTGATTTAACTATTAGTTAACTTGCCAAGAGGTTGAAACAACCTGCTCTGCGTCGTGTAAATAAATTGCTACACAATTTGCAAATTTTGCATTAGGCAGAAGAAAGTGTCTTTTGCAATTTTCTTGTTGACATCGTAATTAAATCTATTATTGCCATTGTTATATTGCCTGGCCTTCCAGAGGCTCGTTCACTTCGTATGATATATCGCATAAAAATATTTTCGCTATAAATAACCACAGCGAACAATTCCACTGTTTTCCATATTTCTCTGAAGAGATAGACGTAATCTGTGCGGTACAAATTACTGTTTTAGCATAAATTATTCTCAAGGGGATTTTTATACGTTTGAATACATTTGACATTCTCTTTTTTTTAAGATTCTGAGTTTATCCGAGCGATTTATTTTTGGAATTACAACAATCCCATTGTGTTCGTCTTAGAATACTTTCATTTACATTGCGTTTTGTAACCAAGTCCCAATTCATCGATGCCGACCGAAAAGTAAACACGAACACAACAAGATACCATGACAGACTCTTAGCCTTGGCCACATCCAACGCATCTTTTTGCTTTCATTGCTCCTCAATCCGACCTGCGTCCAGCGAAGCAGCCAATGTTTTAGGAAGGAATGAGCGATCGAGGTGGGAGGCAAGCTATAAAGACTTGGCGGCCGATCAGGATAGAAACCAGATATCGTCATGAGGCAGTATCGGGCGATCGGCCTTTTGGCCTTATTATTCGCAGCATGTATCCAAGCACGAGGTAAATTACTTTCGTCTTGTCGCATTAATTTGTTACCATCATTAACAGTTTCTCATACTAATTGCGAGATATATTTCGCTTCTATTATCATCTTTGTTGTTTTAACAAGGAAGAGTGTATGTGTTACAAAAGAAGAAACTTGTCGGGAATATATAGAAGAAAGTTTAAATGTTTGAGTATGCCATTATTTTATGCTTTCTCATTTTAATATAAAAATTTTACGTATATATATATTTTTTTGTGCACACAAGAAACACACCTGATATTTTATTTTTCCGAACGAGCAAGAGCAAAATTTTAAAGCAAAATAATAAAATAATACGATGCACGCATCATTCTTATTTAAAATTGAATTTATAGTCCATAAAATATAATGCGCAAAATGTGAGTTTCCAAGATTTTATCATTAGTGAGACGATGATAATTTTCTCGTGACGTAAGACTCATAAATATGTGTAAATGTGCAATGCGTGCTTTTCATTCTTCAGCTTTACGATTGCTTCTCGAAGAAAGCGCGTATAAAAATACGAAGTGACCGCAAGATTTTTTTCTGAGAAATCGATAACAAATCTTTACTACGAATACGAAAATGTATCGCAATCGTATGTAGATATTGATGTTTATTGTTACTTGAACTATGATCCAAGATAATCAAACATTACGCTTAAAAGCAGTAATTTCTTGCAAGCATCAAAACAGTTGTGCATTTTTAGATATATAATACGAAGGAGAAAGATTTGTTTAAAAAATATAAATATAGTATTTTATACGTGATTCTAGGGGATTCATTTAAAGATTTTTTAACAATTATGTTCCAAGTTAAGTTTAACTTGACGACATAAAAACGATTCTCTCAATTTGTTGCAGAAATCGAATTATTGCGTTTGAGGCGTTACAGTGGAGGTGGTGGTTACTCCTCCAGCAGCGCTAGCAGTTCGGCCAGCGCAAGTGCTTTTGGCGATGGTAGCAGCTTCTCCAAAACCAATTCTCAGGCTATCGGCAGCGCTTCAGCAGGCGCACAATCCTCGGCTCTGACAAATGGTGGATATGGGGGCGGCGGTCATGGCGGTTACGGAGGCGGTGGCAGCGATGGTTACGGTGGCGGTGGCGGTGGCCATGGTGGACTCGGGGGTGGCGGTGGCGGTGGCCACGGTGGTCTCGGGGGCGGCGGTGGCCATGGTGGACTCGGGGGCGGCGGTGGCCATGGTGGACTCGGGGACGGTGGTAGCCATGGTGGACTCGGAGGCGGCAGTGGTCATGGTGGCGGTGGTGACTTTGGCGGTGGTGGCGGCCACGGCGGTTTCGGGGGCGGTAGCGGCGGCGGACACGGTGGTGGTGGCGGTGGCGGTGGCCACGGCGGATACGGGGGCGGCGGTACCAATGGAGGACTCGGAAGTGGCGGTGGACACGGTGGATACGGAGGTGGCGGTACCCATGGAGGACTCGGAAGTGGCGGTGGACACGGTGGATACGGAGGTGGCGGCGGGGATGGCCACGGCGGATTCGGAGGCGGTACCGGCGGTGGACACGGCGGCGGTGGCCACGGCGGATACGGGGGCGGCGGTACCCATGGTGGATACGGCGATGGTGGATACGGAGGTGGTGGACACGGAGGTGGCGGACACGGAGGTGGCGGTGGATACGGAGGCGGCGGACACGGAAGTGGCGGTGGATTCGGAGGCGGCGGACACAAAGGCGGTGGCGGTGGATACGGTAATTAATCCGTTGTTTTGATTAATTTCGAGCAATATAACCGAGAACAATTTGTTTCCTTATTATTATCTATCAAATATTTAATATTCGCATAGAAGTACCGGTGTTTTATCTAGAATTATTTTGCAAATTATTTTAGGACTCGGGGGCTATCCCGGTGGTAAGTTCAAAATAAAAGAATCGGCAATGTAATGCAAAAATTTTATAGAGAACGTAGATACGTGTAATAATAATTAGAAACTAATACTTAGTAATATTTGAAATTTATATTTAAGCTTTGCTTCTTTGCATTCTAATTTAGTATAGAAGCACAATTTAAAAAATATTACACAGTCTAAAAATAACATAAATAGAAATAAATGTGTGTAATTGCAGCGTATGTAATTGAAATTTAATAATCCTTCTTGCAGAATATAAATACGCGAACGCTAAATAAAGTTCTAACTAAGAGAGATATAATAATATAGTAGAGATAATTTCAAAGAATTGTGTGTAGTTAGTTTAAAACAAAAGTGCTTTTGGCTCTAGCTTCAATAACAACAATAATATCTTCTTGCAATCTAATAAAAATATTTCAATATAAAGAGTTTTTATACACTGTACACATTTTTAGATGGTGGTGGAGTTAGTAAAGTTAGTGGAGGCTTAGGAGATGGTCATGGTGGAGGTGGAGGTGGTCATGGTGGGTCTGGCGGCGGCGGCTACAGTGGAGGTAGCGCCGGCGCTGGCAGTTATGGAGGAGGTGGCTCCGGAGGCCACGGTGGTGGCCTCGGAGGCTATGGTGGTGGTGCTGGTGGTGGTCCTCATGCAGGTGGTTACGGAGATGGTCATGGTGGAGGTGCCGGCGGCGGTCATGGAGGTGGTAGTAAGTGAACATTAGGAAATATATAACTGTCTACGCCATTGCAACTTATTTGATCGAAATATTTCTCTTTCCTAAATTTTCGTTATTTTAATGGCCTCTCCAATAATTCTGAAGCCTTGAATGGTTTACTTTTCGCGTCTTCATATTTTTCCGAGTTTCGAGGCAATTTTCCGTATAAATTTAGCATAGATAGTGGTGGTAGTTTTATGTGAAAAAGATGTATTGAGAAATGGAGCTGATGCCGAACCGGTGGATTAGGTGGAGGAGGATTTGGCGGAGGTGGTCCTGGCGGGCTTGGCGGTGGACACGGGGGAGGTTTAGGTGGACATGGAGGAGGTTTAAGCGGTGGATACGGCGAACATGGAGGATCAAGTGGAGGGCTTGGCGGTGGACATGGCGGTGGACATGGCGGAAGCGGAGGTAATTTGTATAAAAATTTTATGGCAATTTGGCCGATGTTAATCGGTAGTGATAAATTTGATCATATTGCCCTTGACCTCATGTTCTATAGGTGGATGTGCTGGTGGAGCATGTGGTATCGGCGGTGGCGGTGCCAATGCCCACGCTAGTGCAAGCGCGAATGCCAATGCCGGAAGTGGAACTCACACAGGTCTTGGCGGTCATGGGCCGGGAGTAGAGTATGTATTTTGCCGAAAACTTATGCACAAGTGTATGTTATTTTTGTGCAAATCATCTTAATGCAATCATTGTGGAATTTCCTCCTTTTGGATAATGCAATTATTGCACAATATTTGAGACATTTCTCTATCGGAGTGGGGAATATTGTAATTATTATTTATACACAATTGCCTATGCCTCGAAAAGGATTTATATTGACATCTCAATTTTTCGTCATAAAGTCGTAAGATGACATTGAAAAAAAGATTTGACAATTTGTCATTAATATTGATTTGTACGTGTGTTGACTCAGCCCGCATAGAGTTTTCCCAACAGATTTCAAGGTGAACAGGTTTTTTTTTGCTCGCGAGACCGAATGTTTCCGTAACTTCCGTTTGTCACACAATCGATAATATGTAAACTACAGTTGATTATGGAAATCGGCATGGTAATTTGTTGAGCAAATATGCCTCGATGACACACAAGTCGACAAATGCGAGCCCGAATAGTAAATGCTAATCGCTGTTGATTTTGAGCAATTTATGTGCGTCTCGCACATAATTTCAAAATATTAAAAAGCCTTTTAATTTCGATGATTTAAGCAAATGTTGCCCCTTTTATTTCTATAAAACCAATATTATTGCAATACAATTATTAGAGAGTGAAAAGATTGTTAAAAAATAGAAACCGTGCCCGGAGCTATCAAAAGTGGACTGAAGTCTTATTTCAAGTTAAATGATCTTGAAGAGAAATTAACGTTTTGATAATCTTTCGATTTTTTGTTTGTAGTCTATTCTCCCGCATCGGTGAAGCCGATGAAGGCGCGAGCCAAAGCGGTACCGTCGACGGTGCCAAAGGAGTTTACAGCAGCAGCGCGGTGAACGTAGACGATACCGGTAAAGGTACTTATTCCGTTAAAGCCGGTAAAATCCCGGCGTAAATCACGTTTAACACTTTCACTTCGGAAATTGGTTGTTGCTTCACTAGAGATCTTCTCGACCGAAGATGCATAACTGTGATTACAAATCTATTTCGACTTTACATAAACGTAATACAACAAATCAAGGTCTACAGTTTATTTATTTCCTAATCGCCAAGCGTGATGTGACGTCTAAAATAAATCCATGGAATTATATAACATTTTCCTGAGTGCTTTATTGAAGTTTCCTGCTCCAACCAAAGGAAAACGCATTATTTTACGCTCAGTAATCAATGCTACGACCAGTGTTCAAATGACGTCGGAAATGCCATTTATTGTCGTTTGACATGATTTAGAAAATCTTTGAAAATAATTTATGTCAAGTTAAAGTGATTAATTTTCTGGCTATTCACTCTCGGCACTGGAAAAATTTCATTTACTCGCATCTTATTTAGAATACGTATACAATTCAATAATACGTCATTGTCCAGTTTAGAAACTAGCAATTGCAGCGTTCAATCTAGAAATTGCATTTTTTATCGAGTTCCGTTTCTATTTCTAATTATATTCAAATGAAATCTTCATTGAATGTTCAATTATTTGATCGTCTAGCGTATTAAAGAGATAACGTCTTTCGATGAAAATATAAACTTGAATTATCGTACCGATTTTGTGAAATCATAACGTCTGTTATATTGCCTTGCTATTTAATGAAGATATTCGTTACTTAATGCCGTTTTGATTAGTCGGAAAGACCGGTTTCTCATCGATTTTTCACCGCTAATGATAATGCTCATCAAATCGATGTAATTCATCGCTAATCACGTTGCGCAACCCAGTGATTATAATACGTCTGGCGGTAGATCAGGATTCGTTTGCATCCGTCGGGACTATAAATCCGGTTGCATGACGACTGTAAATCCTTTTGTTATTTTGTCGCTATTTTGCAGCGTAATTATACATCTTCCGATTGAGTATAATAAGACGTTTCTGCACAACTGAGTTTTGCACGTCTCACTTTGTACGTCGACTTGTACATACGCCAAACAAATTTTTTTTATTATTATATGGCGCAATATATTTTGTCGTGCAATAATAAAATCTACTGCGTGATGTATGATTAAATAAAATTAAATCCTGGTAAGTAATGTATCGAATATGCTTTTCACCTTAAATTATTACCTAGCCATTTTTACGTAATTAAAATCTTTATATTTGATGGTACTTTATCCTTTAACGCCAACGAGCGTTAAAAAAAAGTTTAATGACGTCGACCGTCACAGTAATCAATTGTGTTAAATCGTTCGAAATTCGCGGTTTGCGATTTTAGATGAGACACATCGTTTTCTTTCCTTTCGCGATGCATTTCTGATCACGTCGGCGAGGAATTTTGGTCGATGCAATTATGTGACGATATATTTAACTTAAGATACTCAAACCTGCTGTCTCGACAATCTTTCATGAATAATTCATAATGAATTATATATATATATGTATATACATACACTTGTTATGTATACATGGTAATGTTGCCTGATTGATGACGGTATTCCCGAAAGAAGGTATATGCATATTTTATTTAAATTTCCACCCATCGTTTCGACTTTATCATCTTCTGCTTCTTTTTTTCATCGCTCGTTACATAATAATAAAATTCTCGTTAAGATTTATCGTAGAATTTTCCTCTCGATTTAACAAGTCAAATAAACGGAGGCGAAACAAGTTGCGGCGTACCTACTTAATCGTACTATAAATTTTCTCTAACGGTGACTTCGATCCAATTCGACTGGTTTACTTAGGGTTTGTTCTTTATTGCTGCACTCCTGAACTAGTGCACACTGGTGCTATGAGTTGGAATGAAAGGTAATTGTTTCATTTTAACTTATTGCACTAGTTCAGTAGTGCCGTAATAAAGAACAGGCCTTTAATCGGAACATCATTTTTTTAAAGAAACTTGCAGAGCAACAAAATGAGCAGAACCAATTCTAATTAATTTAATTAATTTAAGTAACAAATTGACAAAAAAAACTAAAACTAACACAATACTATTTTTCCTACTGAATTGCTTACGAGAGCCAATCAGGATTTTGTCAACTGATCTAAAATTCTGCGTCCTTATTGGCTCTCGCAAGATATCCAGTAGGAAAATAGTATCGTGTGCCGTTGGCTTACTGTTCCGCTCAATCTTTTGTTAACGAAATATTTTTAAGAGGAACTCACTGAGCAACAATTTTTTTCTTAAAAAAAGTGTTGCATCCATTCCAATTATTTCATCCACGATTTTAACATGTACAGAAACAGAGAATTTCTTTTTCGATGTTGGCAGTCTTGAATGTCCGAAGCTTCGCGTTTTGACCACATGCGTCTATTGCTTGTGTTATTGCGCGTGTCGCGATCTGCAGAGGTTAGGTTGAAATTGTTTAGAATCGGGACGATCCACAAAGAAACCGATTGTTTGTAAAATTTACGAAGGTACGCAGAATGTTGGTGACAATCGCGCTCGTCTCGTATTCGCTAAAAATTATTTAAAGTCACGGCGTGCGAACGTGACGATTTAAATAAAACTATTCAGTGTTTTTCTAGTGTGTAATTTCTTCATTCTTGTACTTTAATGTCGTCTCTGCGTATTGACAGATGAGCCGGAAAGAAGCGTTGTCTCAATTCATACAACAAATTCATGGACGGCCCGTCGTCGTAAAATTGAACAGCGGTGTCGATTACAGAGGTAGATGTTTACTTATAATGACGTCTATCAATTTGTCTACGACAAAGATGCCCGACATCAAGAATTTCTCGATGGAATCGATTTAACTCGGTTAAAAAGACATTCAAAAAAATGAACGTTGCACCCATTTCGAATCTTTGGCCGGTATTCATAGTCGGATCTTCTATTCAAGACCGTCTTGAATTTATCTAAAGATGCTGTATGGAACATTTCATTGGCTACGGAGTATCTAAAGATAATCTTAAGACGGTCTTGAATATAAGATCTGACTATGAATACCGGCCTTAGATTCGTTTACGTTCCGTACATTCCAACATACTGTATTGTTTCAGGTGTACTGGCGTGCATAGACGGCTACATGAACATAGCGCTTGAACAAACCGAGGAGTACGTGAATGGACAGTTGAAGGACAAATACGGAGATGCGTTCATACGTGGGAACAATGTTCTGTACATCAGTACGCAAAAGCGTAGAAATTAATCGCCAAATATAAGCGAATAAGGGCTAAATGTTTATTTAATAAGCTTCTGAAAAAATTCTTTACACGTATCTCTAGCAACTCGTATTTCTAGGGTAGCTCTAAATGAGGCGACTTTTATACTGTGTAATAAATGCGTCTACGTGACGTCCCCTATGGACAGCAAAAACTTTAAGTACTGTTACAATACGTGCTCCTTCTGCCTTTCGAGTCTTCTCTGAATGGCCAGTTGCTTGTTTCTCTCTATTCTTTGTTTCACCTCGTCACTCAACTCGTTAGCGACAGTGGTATTTGTATGCGGTACCGGCGAGTCTTGCGTACCAGCGGACTGCGTTAAGAGCTTGTCGAACGCGTCCTCGCTCGACGTGCTGGGAGCAACGGCGGAGGCTCGCGTTTCGGCCTGCTTTTGTTTTTGAATCTGTTCTGTTATTAGCAAATTGAAGTCGTCCAGAGGTGCGCTCTCCTGCTGATCCTCGTCGTCTCTGTCTACGTTATCGCGAGCGATCAAATCCTCGTCCGAGGTGATCATGTCCAGGCGATACCGCTTGATAAACACCTGCAGATCCTTCTTCGTCCCCAGCTGCTCGACCCTCGTGAGAAAATCATCGAAATGGTACTTGGGAAACAATCGATAGGACCAATGTTCCAGCCTCTTCATGATCCTGTCGAGGTCCGTTCTCTCGTGTCCCTTGCCGTAGAACTTGAAGCCCTCGAAATACTTCTCGATGGTGTGGATACCATTCGGGCCTTTCAGTCTCTCCGTGTTAAGTTTGGGCGCGGGATTCCTCACCACGTGCGACTTCGTCTTGGATGGATCGACTCTCCGCGCGCTTCCCGCCTCGTCGTCGGAAGCCGCGTCCCCCCCCTCCCCGTGGCTGTCGCGCTCGTTGTCGGATTCTTCGTTCTCGTAATGCTCTATAATATCCTCGTCACCCTCGTAATCCGGAACATCCGCCATGATGATATGAAGTGCCTACTGATTCAGTTCGATCACTGCTTAGGCAGATTCCTGGAGAAAAATATTTACCGATTTGGAGACAACTGGCAGTTACCGAACCGAGGAAAATCTCTGATGGCCCGATCAGACTAGCAATTGCCGACTCGAGATTTCTAAGGCTGATGGCAGGAAACAATCCGTAAACTCTCAAGACTGTCTCAAGTCGTAGACGTGAGAAAGAGAGAAGGTCTATTGTATACAACTTAAAGCCTGTTATACAAAACGTTGTATGTCGGGTGTCGGGACGTAGCCGACGGTCCAATGAGAAAATTTCTTTTCAACCGCACTCGATCTAACGTAAATTTGTACTATTGACGGTACGAAAGCAGTACAGGTTAGACTCACTTAGGCGCTCAGAGACGCAGGGGGGGTTCTAAAACTCGCTGTCGTCGTGCGACTCGCCGCTTCCCTTCCCGTCCTCCATAAACTTGTCGAACTGCCCGTCCGACTTCTTCATCCGCTCCAGGACCGACACGAGCAGCTTCTTATTCAGCCGATCGGTCTGCGTTATCTCACGCACGACGGACTCGCACTTCGGCTCGTCCTGCGTTCGCTCGCTCTGCAGCTTCCCCAACACGTTGCTGTCCCGCTCCATCGGAGTGCCAGGCATCTCTCCCGGCTGCCACAGGTCGCTGTTTGCGAATCGCGTACGACTGCGATGGACTACGGTCGCGCGCCAGCACGAAATACGGAACGTGCGAGCGAAATATCGACACGATACGTCAAAATGCTGATAACCGACGTCAATAGATCTGTTCTTCAGCTGCACTCATGTACTCGTAGTGCATACGAGCGTACAGTCGTAGACATGGCAACTCCTTTTTAATGGGTTTAGGAACGCGCGGTTAGATTTAAAATTTCGAACTTCGCTCAATGCGCGACAAACAGATATGATCGTAGTATAACTAGGAGGTCCACTCTGCCGGCTCCTTGTGGTCTTTGCGGTACCGATCAGTTTGTAGATTAATTTGCAGATTAATAAAAAACGTTACACAATGCTACACACGAGACTGTGGCTATTGTGTGATATTTTTTATTACTCGACAAATGAAAACTCACATTGTAAAGATAAATCAATCGATATCAATTACAAACGAAAATTCATCGATTAAAAGACGCTGTGAATCCGATAGAATTAAAATTTTATTCGATAAAAATCGATCTAGAGACGCCCTCCACCACCCCCATCGATTTTGATTGGCGGTCCTCTTTTTCTTTACAATGTGATGTTTTACAATTTTATTATTCATTTAATTTTTCTTATAATTTACTTTACAATGTATACCATACTATAAGAAAAATAATTACATTATAAAATTAAAAATGTAATATCTGTACAATACAATATTTTCCTCAAAATTACATACGAAATATTTGGTATGCATACAATAACATGAAAGTCTTGCCATGTAAAATATATATACGTATTACATCTTTGGGATAAAATATATCCCCCGAATGTATTTATTAATGATCTCTTAAAAGTAAACCAAATCTACAAGAATATGAAGTAAATTTAAAGTAAAAACTCAACAAACGCATAACAACTTCCATATAGTATTATATGCATCCGATTGCAAATATAATTATATTTAATAGCAATACATATATTGCAGTAATAATTTTCTCTATTTTTGAAATTATTGAGTTATGTCCCTGCCTACCCGAATAATCCCTACCTACCCGTATTCCGCTATATAGTCCTACCCGTCTTTCAACTTTTTGTTAATAAACCCACAAGTCTTTCGTTAAAAACGCGACGCGATTTATAAGAGGTTTGAATTGGGGTTATACGCGCGCGAATTAATATGGAATTTAGTAGGGGTCTTTTTAATCTGGCACATACGCCAGAATATGTAAAGAAGAATATAACCCACCCGAATTTTGGCAAATAAAAAGAAATCAATTTATTCCATAGAGCACCTTACTCAGATACTCCATCAAAGTGGCCAATATTGACCACATACGCTATTTTATCCAGTTTTCCATCGTTGGGCCAGATTGGACATACCTTTCGTTGCTCCCGGCCATACAGTCTGGTCATTTTGACCAGAGATCAGGAAGGAAGAAAACTCCTTCCATAGGTCGGTTTGTATCGTCACCGACAGATATTACGTACGATTTGAATTATATACGAGCGTCGATCGTATCGAAAATACACGACTACGAGAAGTTAATTGAAAAAGTATTTTAATTCGAAAAACTTTATTGCAGAAAACCAATCAAATACATTTCTACTTTCATTATTTACCCGAGAGTACTGGCCGTCTCTTCGTGACTCGATCTTTGAATTCGAAATTCATGTATAGACACAGAAAGAATTTACTTCGCGTTATATGTAAGTTTAATTATATTTCGATAAATTAAAATTTATAATAAAATTAAGAAAGTGATAATTTCCCGACATTGTTCTTAAAAACCGATCGCGAAAACCGACCGCGAGAATCTGAAGATGCGTGTGATTCATGCATGTTTTTCATGCGAGGCGCATCTTTCAAGTGTCACAAGACATATAGAATAAATGACGTGAGATCCCGAAAAGAGATCCCTTGTGATTGAATATTGTATAAAATGTATAAAATAATAATGTATAAAAATAATTATGTATAAAAATAATTTGAAATATTTCACCATACTCGACAAATTATTTAGAATCTCACGTCACTTCATTTCACTTTATACACAGAGAGAAAGGTTTCTTTGGTTTTAGTATTCCTATTTATTTGATTGAAATTTGTTTTATTAAAACAACATATGCTTATACGAAACATTATGTTTTGAATAAAAATTTTATTGTTTTATTCAAACACCCTGTATTATTTGATAGAAAAATACTATTATTTGAAATATATCTTCCAATTAAATTGTTATATTATTTGGCCAGGCGTTTATAAGTTTCGTGCTGCCACTAAATGGTCGCCGAACTCGTAAGTAAAATCGCGGCAGCTAGATATAAGCGATCTTGAATGAAACGATAATATCGTCTAGATTGAAGAGAATATTACTTTTGTTTCAAACAAATATTTTATTTCTCACAAAGAGATATATTATTTCAAATGCAAACTATCGTACTTATTAATTAAAACATTGATTTGTTTCGACCATTCCAAATATCAAATTGGTTTGGATACAACAAAATTTGTTAAATCCTAAGAAATCGTTTTCTCTGTGTATGTATACCAATATGTGAATAAAAAATGGATAGGAAAAAGTCTCGGACTCACCGACCGATGCGCAGCAGCGGAGTTTAACTACGTTGCGTCTGTAACACATAATTATAAATATCACATTAAAACACAATGTTCAAGAAAACCAATATTAGGGAAAATAATTATTTAATTATTTAAAATAAACGAGAGGCAAATTAATTTTATACGAAATAACAAATAGTTACCATAAAGTTGCTCCGCCGGCGCCCGATGCCTTTTCCAGGCCTCCTCCTCCACTCAGGTTGCCTTCAGACTCCTCCACTTTGCACTGGCACAACACAACACTCGCGAAAGAGAAGTTAATTACCGCACTAACGCACGACACGGCACTCCCGACGTTAATCGTCGCGGACGTCACTGGAACGATAACGAGAGACAATCGCGCACTGAAATACGAGCCGAATCTGGCGAAATGGCGGGAACGTTCCGGCGGGAAGGACTCGCGCATCTCTGCGAGGCTAACTTGGCGCGCGTCGCGTTCGACAGGACGATTTCGGGCGAACGTTCCTCTCGTCGCGCGTCACGCGTGGAAAACTCGGATATTACTGCACGCGCGAGGCGACACGGATCAAGATTGGAGAACTCGGTGTACCCTTGACGCGCGAGGATACACGACGGCGCCGTAGCGACGCCGACCGCGCGTCAGATTTCGGCCGAGATTTCCCAGATGTACGCGTCTCGGAGGATACCGATGCGCGAGGGTCGAGTCCACGTCGCGCGATTGTTACACTGGACAATGCTAAACTTACCGCGACTGTGCGTACCGCGAAACTCCGCGACCATCGCACGACACCGATCCGCTGTGTGTCCACGGATGCTTCTCGAATGGTCCAATATGGCGCCGTTCCCGGCGGCCACTGCGCGGCACCACTGCGCCGGTCACGTCACGCTGTATCTCGAATATCCAAACAGCGAAGTTTCACTCTTCCGAGAAACGGAAACGACGTCCCGCGGCACTCGCGAAATCGATCGGCTCGATCGCGCGGTTGTGGCGTCGTTCAATTACGCGGAAAACGATCGCGCAAATCGCCCCGTGGCGTACGTACCGGTGGCTCGAACGATACTGCGAAAGTGTGAAGTGCGAAGGTCCTTTGACCGTGCGGCGGTCGCCGGCGGCGCGGCGGCTCGACGTAAACAATTACCAAGCAGCGCGCAGGTTTGAAAAACAGTTTGAAAAACAGTCTATTGTGTCGAATTATTGGGCGCGGAACATTCGAGCGAGACAGTTTTTCCGCGTGTGTTTGCGTCGCTCCTCGTAACGCGAGAATTTCCTACAAGAATCACGATCATTTGCTACGCACCGCTATCGTCTCCTACAAGAGGATCCTTTGATCGAATCCTTATATTTCGTCCGTCGATGATAAAACCAAGAAGTTTTCATGAAAAGCAATTCATAAATCGGCACAGTTTATTTAATTTCCAAAACGTTCGGTTTCGGAGTATGTGATTTTATAAAAAAATTAATACTAAGGCAGTAAGTAAAAGAATTATAATATTTAAACCTTGACCAAGGATTAAAAGCGCGATTTGTCATTTCGTCTAAATAAAAGCTGCACGTGACCGCGAGTATATTAATCGGATCAGAATCTCGGCGATTGCACGAGGAAAACAGGTGTCGCGAGGCCGAGACGTGCCAAGAGGCTGATTTATGTCGCGATGTCAGATTCAAAACTAATAAAGCGGCGATCTGAAACTGGAATGACCTAACTTGTTGAGAGCACAAATATCTCGAGCGCGCCTTTAAGAACGAACGTTTGATGAAATCGGAGAATATGTCCGCCCAATAATTCCTCATATAAATTATATTTTACGTAATCACACTTATAAATGTTTTGTTGAATAAACAAAAAGAATATAGAAAAAATGTTAATAGAATATCTTTAATTCCGATATGAATTATAAATCGTACACGAGAGAGAGAGAGAGAGAGAGAGAGAGAGAGAGAGAGAGAGAGAGAGAGAGAGAGAGAGAGAGAGAGAGAGAGGGGGGGAAGTTTTACTGATATTTATTAGCTCTACTATACTTCTCGATTAACTGTAGCTTGTGTTTGTAGGGCGAGTTGTGCTGACTAAGAAATAAATTACAGAAACAGTTTTCTTCTCTTAGTTAAACCACTTTAAAAAAAATTTCAATTATGATTTGTGATATATAGAAAAATTAATTCATCTTCTATACTTTTTCCAACTTATAATCAATAAATTGTGCACCGATTATTTATCGGTCTTAAGATACAGCTTTCTGTTAGAACAATAAATCCACATATTTTAAATAAATTACTCGATTTTATTTTTGACGCTACCAAACATCGTATTACAATATTATTAGGCTTTTAAAACTCAGAAGAATCGTACCTTCTCTCCAATTAAAGGTATTAGATTCATATCGGTCCTATTTCACTTTTTATTAATTTATTACTCGAAAAAATATATTGACATAAAAGATGATCACATTGAAAAGTAAAAGTGGCGATTTCACTTAATTCTATTTTATATCTGTAACGGCAAACTTTTGATTCTTACTACGCAGGTACGTAAATCGTAGTTTCAAGTCCGCAGAAGAAAACCGGGTTCTCGCTTGCCAACGTCGCGGTACGACGTACGCGTACGACAGTGACATTTAGATGACTAAACGTATCGAAATGCACCAAAGCAGACCATTTTCGCAGCAAATAAACACCGTGTTTTCGTCGCGAGGAACAAATAATACTCGTCGAGTATATTGGCGCGAGTATAATTATACGTTTGTAACGTATGACACGAGCCGCATAACTTTCGAACTGTCGCGACTCGTACCCTAGCGCATCCTCGAAGGAAGAAAAACGACAAATGATCGCTCTTCGGTTTATTTCAGATACAGCTTTTTACTCTATTACTCCTACATCGGAGAAAAAAATCGAGGTTCAATGTAGGGGCAAAATTTCGACTCGGGAGGACGGTTGTTTATTGTTTTCGCACAGAGCACTGTCCGCGCGCGGAGATTCGTCTGGCAAACGTCCATTCGCGCCCTTGCGTCCCGTTCTTCATCTACGTCATGCGTCGAGACGTCTGGGAAGATCTGCCTGGTGCATGCACGCGAAGGTGCACGAGTCTCGGAACATGCGTATTCTCTATTGAGAGACGCGCATCTTAACGCATCTTAACGCATTTTTTTATTTTACCGAAGAGTTTATTAAATAACCGTCGAGTACGGTTGACTTTTTCATGCCCAAGATCGACTTATCAGAAAATGTAGTGTCAGAGGAAACGGATTTTCTCTCCCCGATCTCGATAAACCTTGGACATGTTATTAGTGGAGGAAAGTCTTCTATTATGAGATAAGTTTCTAATACGACACAGCAAGGTTTTCGACGCCCAAATTCAATCGCGAGTCTTTTTTCGCAACGATTACACAATCTAACAATGAATTTTTTTCACCGAACAGATTTCGCTCCGAAGGCAATAAATTCATGGTGGAATCAACTGATGATGCCTATTAATTTAACAGGAATCCCGCTATCCCATATTAGGATCCCGTTTCATAATAGGGAACTTTCCTCTATTATTAGACTGAAATAAGAGACATTGCCAGTGAGAAATGATTCGTCGAAACGATGTCTGATCGACACCGATTGACGAGTCATTTCTCGCTAGGTATATTTTCCTGTAGACGCTCTTACGCACATTAAGGGATGAAACTGCTTGGCATTGACAATCCTGGAGAGATTTTAAATGAGAAAAGTAGATAAAACCATTCTACTTGCCTGATAAGTGTTAAAAAATGAATTATATAAATTGCATTGTACCTGTTATCAAAGGAATAACAGGCAATACCTACCCAGTGAGAAATGATTCGTCGATCGATGTCGCCAACGACACCGTCAAATGAACGTCGATTCGACATCGTTTTGACATCGATCGACGAATCATTTCTCGCTGGGTATAAACGTGTTAAACAAGTGTACGTATATTAGCAAAATTGATTTCACGAATTCGCAATCACGTTGCTCTTTTCGCGATAAGGATTTAACTCGTCGCGGGCCGCTCCTCGCCGCCGTCTCCGAGTCGCTTCTATTGTTGCGCGAGGGCTTTTGTCTCGATTCCAAATAGCGAGTCTGACATCGATTCATTCGGTGCACCATTCGCACCGACGTTTTACTGTCGCTTACTCCAACCGCGGGATTTTCATTCTCTATTTTCGTACCGCTGCAGTATAACGCCACCGTTCACGCAGGAACGGTTGTAATCGCGCGAATATGAGAATCTAATAAAAACGACGCACCGCGTTTGTGTCTCCAAATACCAGCGGTTTGTGACAGCAATTTGTTAAACGAATCCACCGGGGCCTTGTATCCTCCGTTTTGCCTTACTTGTTTTTCTTACGTTATCCGCATCTTCGATCAAACGTTACCTTCTCAAAAATTAAACCCTTTAATTCCCCCATTCTGCCTTCAAATCTCTCCCCGAATTTAATCTCTCGCAATAGTTTATCTCCTTTCTCATTTGTAGTCTACCCTTATAGAAACTTATCACTGGCGAGCCAGTGATTAATTACTTATTTTCAGTACTTAAATTAACGCACAGTAATTCAATTACTGAGCTAATGATTATTTCAGTGTTGTTTCTTTTGTTTCTAATACGACATATCCGTAAGGATATACGTCGAAGGAGCCGCGCGTGCTCCCGGGATGAAAAATAATAAAAAAGAAATAAGCGCTCGTTAAACTTATAAACTAATATCTAAGAGGGGCCAATGAATACGAGCTAGATAAGTTTGTCAAATTCAATTAAATTTATATATTCCCTGCACAGTATGTGCGACGAACGTTTCGACCTTGCCAAATCTTTGTCAACCCCATAAGCCGTACATAAATTATAGAGTGAATAAATGAATTAATCAATACCCCCCCTCTCTCTCTCTCTTTCTCTCTAGCGTCAATCATTAATAAATTAACATAAGTTAAAAATAACATTCGATTCGAGCGACGGATCGGTCATTCAGGTCCGTCGCGCGGAAGCTGCTGCGTCAGGATCCCTCGTCGCCGCGCGCGATGGTTATCGGATCCCGCGGGCGAACACGAGGAGAAGCCGCTATCGAGAGCGTCTCTTCCTCTCTCTCTCTTTTTCTCTCTTTCTCTCTCTCCCTCCCCCTCTCTTTCGTTCTCTCGCTCTCTCGCTCGCTGATACACACCGCGTCCCAGAAATAGCGCAAGCGCCTTCCCGGAGGCGCTGCCTCGAAGAAGTCCCGCTAAAGCGGCGGCGGACGCGCCCTCGACGATTGGCTGGAGCCAGGGAGGCCGGGGCGCGGTCCGGCGATCGGTCCCGCAACCGGCTATATCGCGCCATTCGAATATTACCGCGGCGCCGCGACGCCTCGCGGCAGTGAGTCAGGTCGGTGCGACGAGAGGCACAGTTTCTCGGCGGCTTCCCACCGTGTATATATACATATATATTTCTTTTTTTTCGTTCAAATCCCCGTTTCCGGACGCGACTGAACCTCGCGCGACTCCCCCGGTCGAGCGTACGCCTCTTAAGTAGAGTAAAAAAAAAAGTAAAATAAAAGAAAGACAGTCGAATCTTACGCGCCACCACCATGGTATGTTCTATCGATGATATTGTAAGTCGTCGCCCTGGTAAACACACACGTTTTCCTACTGTCTATACTTACGTAGTTATTTGTTGTATTTTTTTAACCGTCGCTCGAGTCTCTCTGTCTCTTTCTCTCTCTCTGTCTCTCTCTCCTATCTTTTTTATCTAATTATCTGCTCTACCTCTTCTTCTATCTTTCTACAGTCTTTTAGTATCGTGTAAAATCATTTGCACGTGCCGCCTGGGCATTTAATTGTAAATTACACTTTTCTGTTTCTAATCTGTCTCTAGATCTCGTTTGTGCACCTTTTTGTTTTATTTTTTTACGCATCGTGATATTCAGTAGCGATTAACAGTGTACATCGTGTGCTCGGATTTTCTAGCGCACCTAGATAAAAATGTGTCTAACCGTGCGGCCCCTTCCGGCTAAGAGAGATGTATCTTGGGACCGCGATGAGATGAGATTTTGGAAAAACGTGATTGTTTCTTAAACGGCGAGCCAGCTCGACCGCTTCTTTAAAATGAATCCGCCGTCTTTTCACCGGAGGGAAGATATATTTCATTGCTCCAAATACATTTGAGTGATATAAGATTGGTAAAAAAGAAAAAAAGAACAAACGAATAATGTATATCCTCTCCACACAGGGCTGCTATGTCGCGGCAAAGTTATCGTGGATCGTTTGAAGCGGCGGTTCGAGAAAATCTCTTTTAATTCATGAATTGTGACGGATACTTGAACGAGTGATCGAGACTATTCGATAAATGGAACGGTGTTGTTTTAATAACGAATCACACTGTTACTGTAAAATCATTAAAAATAGTGAATATTGCAATTTAATTAATTTCGTTAGAAATAAGCGCGTATATATATTATTTGAAAAATAATCAAAGCACAATATTTCCTATTTTTAATTGTGCACGTTCATATTTATATTAAAAGCTAATTGTGAATTACGATTTACGTGTACGTTCGTAAAAAGTGAATTTTGTATACACATACATTCATTCATTCATTTGAACAATCTTAATGTTAATTAATGCATTTTGTATAAATCCTAATTATAATTACGTTTCATTATCGAAGAGTTTCGATTGTTTAGTCCATGCGTACGGAATTGCACGCATGAAAATTCTGTTTAGCATAAAATATTTCTATTACAATCTGAAATCGCAAAATAAGTAACTTGCATTCACAACTTAAAAATAAACTTGATTGTAAATTTACGGAGACCTTAAAGAACAGACCTTACTGAATGAATTTTAACAGCATGAATGTTCTTTCTAAAAGCAATTAGCAATTTTTAATTGAACGATGAATTGAAACCTTTAATCATTTAATGTATCTAATATAGTTATGATTGATACGAGAATGATAAAGATTTTCGATGTTGGATGTAAATTCACTTCAATCTTGACTAATTTGTGCACAATAGTTACCTATTGATTGATAAAACTGATAAAGATTTTCGATGTTTGACTTAAACATCTAAAAAAAAAATACATTTTACTATCGACGATTGTAATTCGCATCTTCATCGTAACTTTTGCGATTTGCAGGCTGACGAACTGCCGCCGGAACAAATTGCCGGTATGTATTTCAATTCAAAATATTGTTAATTTCCAACAGTGGCTTCGGCAGAGTCGTAAGTTAATTCCAAATAACACAAAGCATTTAATTAATAAGTGACGGCAAAAAGTGTGAGGTGACTTCATCGGAAAAATTTGCCAACAGTCCCTCTTAAGTTTTCGCTCAAAATGTCCCGAAAGTCGAATATCCTATTTACAAAGGCAGGCGCCTGAAAGTAATCGGAGCCATTGATCTTGTTGCCAGTTGCTATAACATAAAAATAGATATTCACGTATTCCAAGAAAATCTAGGGGATAAACAAAGGTAAAACGCAGTAGCCAAGAACAAATAGACATAAATCTATGGTCGAGCTCATTCATATACATATATCACTTAGAAAACCGTAAAGTTGCGCGCTGAAGATTCTAGAGATTATTTTACAGTTATTGCAACATCGTTATTAACGTGTTCGATAAGACGACGTAAAAGACAAATTAATCTCTGCGATTTAATAATAACGTTGGTTTCGATATCCATTGAAACGTGACGAGGCAGAGATTACAATTAACAAATATTGTATCTGAAGATATTTAAATTGCAACAACCGCGGCGACGGAGAGTAGCATTTTTTTAAGTACTTTATGTACCGCGAACGTGGCTTCTACGCGGGATTAAAAATAGAGCCCCTTTACAAACGGAACGCGGCAATCGAGCGTCGAGCACGGATAAATTTTCATTGCTTTCGCCGAGTTTATTTACGCGTTTGATCCGATCGGGGGCACAGCCACGGAGAGCGCGGGCTATGTATAACTACATCGAACGTAACGAAAAAGCGGCGTCTCGGGCGGCGACGACGACGGTGACGATCGATTCCACGAATATACGCCTATCGAAATGAAAATAGAAGGGGGGAAAAACGCGATAGGGGAGACAGGAGAGAGAAAAGGAGGAGAGAGAAAGGTTTACCCCGGGTTGAGGGGGGGGGGGGGAGAAAGAAAAGACAGGCTTCGTACACGTTTTTCCAACCGTTTGCGAGCGCCGGGCGCGCTCTCGAGGATTTCAAGACGGACGCCTGGAATCGCGCGCAGCCTCCCGCCGCCGAATCGAGGCGCGCAGTAATACGCGAAACACTCGGGACGTAACTCCCGCGAGTTACGAATATAGCCCTCGAACGAGATACGGAGACCGCACCGAAAATATACCGAAGACGTAGTTTTTTTCCACGCTCCGCTGATAATGGAATTAACTGACCGCGTAAATGCGGCCACGATCGCATCGACGTCCCAATATCTTCGCATATAATAAATTCTAATATGCAATTTTTTTGTGATAATATTATATATTACTATATATGTAATATTATTATGTTACGTCATGTAAATCACTAACAATAGGTGCTTTGGTCTTTTCTCAAAGTATTCCTTTCAAAGCATAAAATAGTAGCACTAAAATAAAATTCGATATTAGTTATGTATGTCTCCATTAAAATAATTACTTTTCTTATTTCCTCAAGTAGTGCAATGCTTTTGATATTTTTTACTGTATGTATGTTGTAATTGTATAATTATTTACTTATAAAAATGCTTGTACAATAAATTTCTATTCCTATATACGTGTGCATGAATATGCGTATATATACGTGGACAGAATTTTTTCTTAAAGTTTACCCCGAAAATCATGTAATCGTGGGACGACATGGCATTTCGAAGAATTTTATGACCGTTGTTTGAAATTTTATCTTACATTTTACTAGTAATGTTACCGTACATTTTACTAGTAAAACATGGCATTTTGAAGACCTTTATGAGAGTTTTTTTAAATTTTACCATACATTTTACTAGTAAAATGTATGGTAAAATTTCCAAGTCATAAAATTCTTCGAAATGCCACGTTGTCCTACGATTACATGATTTTCAGGGTAAATTTTAAGAGAAAATTTTCTCCGTGTACGTATATAGGAAGAGGGACGATATACCTAGCACGATATTCTAATATACTTTACATATATATAAATAATATTACATATACATTAATATTTCTCACGATTGTTACATAGGAATTGGCTTATCGCCGAATAATTTTGCGTTAAGAGTTAAAAATAAGGAAGACACCGTAGGAAGATGGAGTAGAAAGATACCGTACGGTAATACGATACCGGTAACGTGTCAAGAGCTCTCAAAATCTGGATCGCGCGTTAAATCGGTGCAGTTAAATCAAATTAAATCAGGTGCAATTTGGATTCCTCGGAAATGTCGTAAGACCTGGGGACACGTGCGGCCACAGGCGTGAACCGTGTAATCGCGCGGTTTCTAATCGGATAAATAACGATAAGCGTCAGCGTAACCCATCAGCGTGAGCCGATGGTGTATCAGGCCAAATAAGCTCAGCGCCAGCCGTCCCGGAAGTACGCTAACATACGTTCTAAATCCGTATCGCCCCGGCGTTTAATGTCTTCAACCGGATGGACTTATTGTTAGCGAAACTGGCTGCAGAAGAAACCGTCCGGAAAGGAGAGGAGAGTCTTTCCTTTCTCCCCACAGCAGCCCTCGGCTCTTTGCGAGCTGTCGGGTGCCAATCGAAAGACTATATTAAAAATACAAGAAAAAAAACTGTTTGACAAAAGTCTCTCCTCATTTTTGCCGCCGTCAACGTGACTAACTTTTCGTTAATATTATCGTCGCAATGCTTCATTGAGATGAAATCAATTTTGCCACGAATCCCGAAATATTATTTGTAAATTCCTTGAGAAAATATACCTTAGTAAACCTTCAAATTTGATTTTAGAAAAATAAAAAATGTGAAATGTAAATTTGGACACTTTAAACTTTTATTTAAGGTAAACTTAAAACTTACGTTAAAAATTTAAAAGGAAACTTTAAGAATTGCGAAAGGTACGTGATATAATATCGCGCGCGCGGTTTTCTTCTCACGAGAAAGTGCTATTCCGCGCGGCCCTTGCGGGAATTTCGGCGGGTTTAGCTATCTAAAAGTTACTTTAAGTGTCCAAAATTACTCTAAACTTTCTTAAGTAAACTTTTAACTTCTTAGATGCGAAAGATTACTTTAAAAAACTTTAATTTCACTTAACAAATAAATATAGGGGATCATTTTCCATAGCGCCTACGATCTTCTTCGGATTTTGAATCGCGGGATTTGCGGGATCGCGAGGGGAGCATTTTTTTAATGCGAGGACCATTTTATCTCTTGCAGTTCTGCGCAAAGCTTTCGATAGCTTCGACAGCGGTAAGACCGGCAGCATTCCCACTGACATGGTGGCCGACATCCTTCGGTTAATGGGGCAACCGTTCAACAAGAAAATCTTGGACGAGCTCATCGATGAGGTCGACGCCGATAGTAAATATCACTAATTGTGTTAATTAACTACGGCGCGACGCCGGCGACGCGATTGCGACACGTACGGATCTCTCGGTTTATTTAAAGAGCATTACTGACCAAGCATAACATTGTTTATTTCTCTCTATTTCTGAAGTGTTTACAGCTATTGTAGCACACGAACGGTCTCCACCGAGTTGTTGTCAAATGTCAACGCGCGATTTAATTTACCGTAACGCGCTTCAGTAATCTTATTTATAGAATTCGCTGTAAACACTTTTGCGCTGTGGCTCACACAATACTTCGCTTGCAGAATCTGGGCGGCTCGAGTTTGACGAATTCATCACGTTGGCGGCGAAATTCATCGTAGAGGAGGACGCGGAGGCGCTGGAAAAGGAGCTACGGGAAGCCTTCAGGCTCTACGATAAGGAAGGTACGTTTCATGAAAAGCTTGCAAAAAGTTCATCGAACGAAGTTCGTTGATCAATGAAATTCACCAGGTTTTCTCTCTCGATGGAAACATAGTTAACAATTATTTCAATAATAGCGACTAGTTTTCATAAATTCAAATTATCTTGTAGAGAATTCGAAAGCAACATATTGCTTGTTAGCACCTTATACATTGACATTGTTATTTATTTAATTAATATATAGAGGAAATACGTTGAAAGCAACTGAATCTTAGTATACACGTGTCAATTATTTAATAATCTTTTTTAAAACACATAATTGTTCGGACGTTTCAGTTATGATTACGTAAATAATATAACCGTGTTCAGCGTAATAACAATTTTTATCTCACGTGCTTTATTGCATCCTCGGCAGAGATAAAAAAATTCAGAAAGATGATATATTACGACGGAGCTCCATGTCGATTGGTTAAATGATCGTAGTCTTTATGTCAATAATGGAAACACGTTGCAAAAATTTTTTATTTCACTAGGAAGCCAAGAGAGCACGGAAGTAAACCGCGAGGATATCATCGACACATTCGTATAAGTTTTAAATTTAAACAATTATCAAGTAAAAGCATAGGCAGTCAAAGTTTAAATTAATTCAGGAAATAAAAAGGTATAAAGCGCTAATAAATAATTAAACATCAATAGATAGAAAGCTAAAAGGCAATGAATAAAAACTAAATTGCAATCTATTATAATAGATAAATAATAGTTTTATTGCTTGATTGCTTTTTAATTATTTATTAGCCCTTAATTATTTATTGTACCTTTCTAACTTCTTTCAATATGTGAAATATTTTGAGTTCGGCTGTTAATACTTTTTAATGTTCAATCTAAACATTGCGAAAGTATAGTAATAAAATCAATATTCCTTCGACATTACAGTGAAATACTATGCTCCAAATATTTTTGAAAATTGATTAACTGTTTCCGTGCTTTTTAGGATATTATCCTTTAAACTTACTTTATCTTTCTTCGTCTTTTCTCATCATTCTGTTTTTTTTTGTTGTCTCCCTTGAAGAATGCGATTTATGTAGTGGTAAAAATTTTACGTCGTAAAACGGGTCAGTTTCGCAGCGAAGAAAGACTTGTTGGCATGACAAGCGTGAAACATGACGGGAAAATCTCAGAATACGTTTGTACAAACAGGCACATTAAGTTTGCATCGGTTTCGTTATATGACGAACGTAAAAATAAGCCGGAGATTCCCAACGGAGGGCAGCTCACGTGGCGGCCGCGGGCCAAGAATGTCGTAACATATCTTTCATGAATTACGATTATGTCGAGGGTGTAGCGTATGTATTTTAACGTGGCTGGCATCGAGAAGATAAATATCGCGGGGCGGATAAATTTTGCAATTACTATTTGTGTCAAGTGAAAGAGAGATAAGTATTACATGCCAGAATAGATTCTCAGAGTTGTGCATGTACAAATAATGAAGTGGAATAACAATATCCTTAAATTCTCACGTGCACGGTAAGGAAGTATGGTATTGTTACATCGATTTTATCATTGCAAAATGCTGCGCGAGCCATGTCATCAATTTTGTCCCGTACATGGGGAGAATTTTCTCTTAAAATTTATGTAATTCTGAGATAACATGGCATTTCGAAGAATTTTACGGAAAATTTTATTTAATTTTACCATACATTTTATAAGTAATTTAATTATACGCTTATAACTAAGTATAGAGGAAAGTCCCCTATTATGAGATAAGCTTCTACTATGAGATGGCGGAGTTTCTGCTAAATTAATAGACATCCTGTTGGTTCCACCACGATTTTATTGTCCTTAGAGTGAAATCTCTGTTTGAAAAATTTATTATTAGATCAATTGTGGTCCGTAATCGGGTAGTCATTGCGAAAGAAGATTTGTCATTGAATTTGAACGTTGAAAACCTACTATCTCACATTAGAATCCTATCTCATAATAGAGGACTTTCCTCTACATTTTACTGGTAAAATGTATGGCAAAATTTTAAAAATCTCTCATACAGTTCTTCAAACTGCCATGTTGTCCCATGATTCTCAGTGTAAACTTTAAGAGAAAATCCTCTCCGTGTATGTTACTTAAATGTTCTTCAAGCCTGCGATTATCTGTATATCGCACTTTGCTCCGTCAGGTAACGGCTACATCCCAACAACGTGCTTACGCGAAATCCTAAGAGAATTGGACGATCAGTTGACGAACGAGGAGTTGGACATGATGATCGAGGAAATCGACTCTGACGGCTCCGGTACAGTTGATTTTGACGGTACGTTTTTAATCCTCTTCTTCTTTCTCTTTTAATGAAGTTCGTGGTGTTACAGTAAATTGCAAGAAAGTAATTTGAGACAAAACCATGAGATAAAATACGTATTATACAAAATTTTAGATTAATTTTACCGAAGAAGATAACTTTCTTATTGATATTGCCGGCTTTGATATTTTCCATGTAAACGGTTATGAAACCTGTAAAAACGAAAAATGTTAAGTTGAAAAATTCATTTTTATGGTAAATCAGCATGTGTCAACATATGCCGTACAAGTTGAACGGAGGATAGTCAAGCGGTTTATTTATATATACGCCGGTCGAGCTGGCACATCGAGGATGCCACTGATCCCGCGACTGTGCCTATTTTTATATTCGTACCTAACAAATCGCAGCGATTCATCAAAATCACACGTCCGTTCCGTGTAATTTTCCAAAATATTAGTAACTCTTGAAGAAACAGGTGGATTAATATTTTGTGAGAAATTAAATGTGAAATTAAATCCTTAATTTTACAAGAAAGAACCAACTAGCAAATTAAAAAATTATGAAACTTTGACAATACACGTAAAGAATATCCTATTATATGTATATGTAATAAGTGATTTTTTTGTTAGCCGAATTCACCTGAAAGGATAAAATCAATTCTTGGAAGTTGATCCCCTTTTCATTTTTGTTTTATTATTCGCCGACAAAATTTTATAGAGGAAACTTCTTTTTTTAAACGAGATTTACCTACTGGTTAAAAACTCATAAATTAATTAAAGAACTAGTACTAATTTTTATTACAAGAAATTGCAGAATTTTCAAAATTTTTAACGAAATATGGTTTAGTGAAACTATTAAATGCTTGTAAAAGAAGAAAACTTATTGTCTAAATTTCTAATTAATTTAAAATTAAACACAGTAACATAAATATAAACAAACATTTACTACTAATATATGTATTTTTCCTTTTCAGAGTTTATGGAGATGATGACCGGTGAATAATTATTCTGAACGAATGGTGAACTGCTTTTGGATCTAAAGACACTTTTGCAATCCATACGATCATTACGTCTTGAAACTAATCATTCACGTGTTTGTGATGAATCAATGCACACCGACTTTATTATTCGCACATAGATATTTTTTACATTTCGTGATTAGTTTCAGAAGCAAATTCTTGTCGCATCACAAATGAATTATTTCCTGCTTTTATACATACGTCATATTTATTATAAACCAATGAATTTTACTTTCATACACTTACATAAGGTTTGGAAACTTTTTCATTAAGAAATCAGTATACACATATTGTTAATAATTGTTGTAATAAAACGAAGATAAAAGTCTCATATCTTCTGTTATTTAACAATATAAAACATCACTTTCCTCGTGTTTATACGAACAGAAAATTTCTACTACTTCTCCACCTGGCCCAAGATCAACTTTTCTTTTCAGATACCTATACTTGAACAATTTTTTCATTCTGTTTCAACTGAAACTTAATAATTTTCATATACAAAGCACGTCCTATTGTGTGTTATCATAGTGCAGTAATTTTGAATAACAATTATTAACGTATTTATAGAGAAATTAAATAATTGAATATTTATTTCTCTAGATGTTTTAGTTAAGTATATACTTTTTCTTTTCCGTTTTGAATATGTGATACATAATAAAATCCTCTATTTTTAGATTATGACTTCTAACAATTTTCATGCTACTAAAAGTACTAAGGTAAAAATACCAAAAATAATCATATTTAACGTATTCTAAATGTATTGTAGTTTATTTGAATAGTTAGATTTATAGATAGCAGTTTATTTGAATAGTTAGATTTATAGATAAACTTTTTTTAGCTGTGGAAGAAAAGAGAAAGAGCAACATTTTATAAGATGGTTACGGGCTAAACTTTTTATTTATTTAACATTCAGGTATAATCACATTAAATTTGAGATTCCTTTATAATTGACATGATAGTTGCAAACATAACGTAGAATAACATGCTTCAAAAAATATAGTCGCTAATTATAGACTAGCAAGTTTACAGATTGTAGAGTGGCACCTAATAAGTCTTAGAAGTCCGAATTTTTATCTAGAAATTTTTCATGATGAAAACGCAAACTAACAGTATTTAACAAAAAAGTATTGGTATCCATGAAAAATATGATAAGCTAGAATTTTTTATAATTCCTATGACTTAGAATATTGTGTTCTGACATATATGTATATATATATATGTATATAGACGTGGACTAGACTACACTTTATGGAGAAACAATACTAATAATTAATTTTACTTGCCCATCTCTTTTAACAATACACACAGAGATGTATGTATCAGCTGTATGTGTTTATATTAAAGTTTATCTCAATATATATCTCTATGTATATAAATTATTTTACTTATATATTATAATACTATCAATTAACTAGTAAATAATTATCATAAAATTTAACTATGCGAGTGTTGGAATGCTTTCAAATATCAATGGTCCTCGTAATACGAATGGAAAGAATTTCTCGTTATATTTCACGTTACGTATATATCATAATTTTATATATTCTTCCTACTTCTAAGTAGCTCACTTACACAAAGAGTGATGTCTTGTAGCACCAACAGAATGAAGACATTTATGGCAGTCGTAAAACATATAGTTATTTCAGCTAAGCTGTGTGCGTTTCCCTTTACTAGATGAAATATAGGAAAGCCATAAGGATTATCAAGAAATTTGTCTTGAATTTGATTCCTCTTTACCGTCGACAAATTCTCAGATCTACTTAAACAAGAGTTTGCAAGTCATCGTCGTCCAAATCTTGATCAGACGAGGGAATTAAATGTCACATTCTGAACAGATGTGGAAATTCGTTGCTAATTTCGCGTACTACTTGCTGGTCTTCGTGACTCTCCGCCGTTTCCTCGCAAAATATCCTAGTGGAGAGTACAAGATGTACATATAAAATTTCATACCTAAATATTTTTAGTCATAAGACATGCAATTGAATGTTTACCTTGTAAAACCTTTTAATAAATCTCCAGATCGATGACGATGCTCATTATAATTGGACGTGCGTAAAACACGGCGGCAAAGCTCCAAATATTGTCTGCGCTGTCATTGCATATTAAAAATACAAATTAAATATAGATCTACAAGGTTTTTAATCGGTCTAACGCGAGTTTTCTTTATCGCGGCGAAATGTAATACCTTATCACCCGGAAACATGTCGAAAAGTTGTCGTAGTATAATATCAATAAGAACTTTCACGTCATTAGTGTAGAAAAGACTTGCTATGGCATCATTACTGAACAAATCGACAAAGAGTTTCAACACAGAGTGCGGTGGTTGTGGTTCGTGATCAAATATTCGTACCGGATCCTCTGTGGTAAATTAAAAGTCAGATCAAACAGACGTTTCTGACATGCATACCGCCGGTCCAAAGTTTGAAACACATGTAAAATTTAAAAATATTCCAGTGAAACATTACTTTAAAGTCCGATGCATGCATCACTCAATCTTTTTTCTTAATGTGAAAGTAAAATAGACATTACATTTAGCACAGTTACAATTAACGCATTGTTTAATTTAAATAAATGGACTACAATCATAAAGCTTCATTTGTGATTGTAAACTGAACTTTCAAAAGATGGGTAAAAGTATCTTGTATAAAAAAATTTTTACAAAATTTGCAGCTAGATTACGTAGATCAGTAAGTGACGAAATATAATGGCTGCTTTAACGAAAAAATCTAATATTCTTTTTATTTTCTAAAAGAATTTTTTATAGAACTTTTAAATATTTTGTTATTTTTCATTTCATTATAAAACAATAAATAGAATAAATAAAAACTGGTTAAATTAAAATGCATAAATTTTCGTTTTATATAAGACATTTTCAGTTAATAATTTCAAACTTTTGTTCAGCAGTGTATACATGCACATTATTTGCATAAAATTTACCTTCTCTGTTAAAAAGGAACAAAATTTTTTCAGTGAAAGTCTTAGCCACAGTTCGCTCACGTAAGGCATTTAGCACGATGTTCTCAGACGTCGTAAATTGCAAATTATAAGATAATATCAAATTTATGAACAAGTCTGGAATTTGATCTTCCAGATCTGTATCGGGTGGTGTTTCTATTAGGTCCAGCAAGAATGATATGAAGTCTGCACCAAGTTGTTCTGGAATAAAATAACAATAAGAGACGTAAATTTTAATGCCAGCGTATAACCAGTGATATTTGGTGAGGGAGGGGCGCTACCACTTTTTATTAACAAAATACTTTATTTCCAAAAGAAATACTCTATATCGAGATATTCTATATAAAAAGTGGTAAACGCCCCTTCCTTCTGGCGCTTTGACTAACATTGGCCTTTTCCCTCCAATTTGTTAATAAATTTTAATTTCTACTTTCAGTAATAATAGCACGATCTATTTTACCCACCCAAATGCGTAACTGGCATTGGTTCACCCATTGAAAAAATCATTGTAAGCAATAACGAAGAATAATTTAATCTTAATACATTCCTCGGATTACTCTTCATATCTCTGTAATAAGAATTTTCATTATCACTTACATATACCGTATGCTTCATTGTTAAAGGTCTTAAAATACCTCGCCAGTTCCATTGGTAAAATGCTATTTAACATGATGGTTAGAACCACTGGATCTAAACTACACATAACGCCAAATGATTGCAGCAATAGTTGTCTAATGGTCCACCTCGTTTCCATCTGATAGTATTGTATCAATATTGTTACGCCATTGTACCGATCTTGCCTTAACACATATCTCGATACATTTGCATCGGCATTAGTCTGAAAAAAATATTATTTAATAATCAAACTAAATGATAAATAATAAAACTAAATCTATAACACGTGTTTAGTATAAACAATCATATTTGATACAAAAGGTGAAACTAGAAATCGACAATCGTACATTTCTTGACGCGTCTACCGACGACGGTACGTTTTGGCAAAATCTTAATCACAGAGCTTTAGAAATGACAAAAGCTACAATACTAAGAGTCAAGTTTAATACTAAACATGTGATATAGTCACAGTTCAAGTTGCCCCGTTAAAAAAATGTACCAATATTTCGGTCAATTCTTTGATGTATTCCACAATAATGGATTCATCTTCGTAGAGCATCCAACTTCTTTGCTGTGAATCTTCCTTGCACGAAGTCAGTTCGGTAAAAATAATTTTCAACCTATTCGCGTCGTAAGTCTCTTCTATACTCATTTTTGACACGGTCAACGGCGTTTGTAGCTGATGCAGCAAAGCGTCGAGATAATGTCTCACGGTTTCCGGCAGCAACTGCTGCAGGCTGGACACTACGACCGTGACTGCTACTTTCGACATTTCGTGGCTAAGTTGAGTGTTTTTGCGTACTTGATCGAGCAGCTGGTAAGCGCTTCGCGAGTTAATGGCTTGCAGGGAATTGCTCTTAATCGGCGAGCTGTTCTTAGCGGGCGAATTGCTTTTAATTGGCGAGTCGCTGCACACATTTTGAATGCTACCTTGGGAGGAGCTTTTGTGAACCTCCGGGATCGGCGGCTGAGCTTTCTGCACAATGTCAGAAGACGACTGGCGCGGAAGCGACTGCACACGTTGCCCATCTCCATTCGGCCGTTGCGCACTCGCCTTAACGTGATCAGTGTTATTACCGTGAAGGGTTGTCTGTGCCGTTGCGTAAGAAGCATTGCTTGGCGCCGATCTAACATCCGTCTCCGTATTGTCGCAAGCGGTCGCGGACTGCGTCTCTTTAGATATAATGCCGCAATCCAACTCCGGTGGCTTGGGCGCTTGTCTTTTGGACTTCTTGCTCAGCTCCACCTGCCTCTTCCTCTCCATCAGCTTCGCCAGGAGATCGTGCTTGTCGGGCTGCGCCGCGTCGCTGTCCTTCTTAATTTCCGTTTCCAGCGTCAGTATACAATCTTCCAAAAAGTCAATCAGGAACTGGGGTTGCGCCTGCAGGGCCGTACAATAAACAGAATGCTCGTGCGTGCCTCGAGACCGAGTTCCTTACCTTGACGGAAGCAATGTAATTGGATGGTATGTAACCCAGGCGTCCCCCTCTGTTCACAACCTGCCACCAGTTTTTCTGCTTGACGTTACGCTGCAGCAGGATGAAATATTCACCCTCCCGGAAGCTGAGGGTCTTCGCAAACGTGGCCTTGAAGTCGTACAGAGCCTTGACCATTTCATAGCTGTCCGCAGCTGCAAATGTTACGGAGTACAGAAAGGAGTTGACGAGAGCGAGAGAGAGAGAGAGGGAAAAATATATCTCGAGAGCGAGGGAACGCGCGTCCGCGACTCGGGATTTGAAATACGAAAGCCGTACGTACCTAACCTCGCCGCGCTGTTGTCGTCCATCGTCGAAAGCGAGAGTGAAACGCGACGGTCCCGATGGCGTCAACGCTCACGTGGAAGCCGGAGGACCGCCTACTTACTTTCGCTCGCGCTCGGACACCTCATTTCCCTCCTACCTGCCTTTTCCCGTCGACGGTTTTTTGCTCCGACCGGCCTCTCTCCGCGTACGCGCGCGTGTATGTACGTCGCGCTGTCGCTGTACGTGACGGTGGGCCTGCGTTCAGAAACGTCACCCTTTCGGGTCGGTTCTTTAATGGCCGGGCTGGCCGCGAGAGAGCCATTTAAAGTCCGCGTGTCGGACCTTTCGTCTCCCGCGTGAATTCGTGAAAGGTGAAAAATCTTCATTGACGAATAGCGAAGTTCTTCAATGAGGTTTTATCACTTTTCACGAGTTCGCGCCAGGAGAAAAGGGATTCACGATCGGACTTCGGGGACGTGAACTCGCCAAGAGCGAAAGATATCATTGATCAACGTTTGTCTATGAAATTTTTCACCTCTCACGCGAGTTCACGCTTGAAAGAAAGACTCGTGATTGAGACCTACGGATTTATTGAGACTGGCAATGAAATTAGGTGGAAATCTCTGACCAATCAAAGCGAAATTCACTAACTCGCGATTCAATCATCTTTGCTCTGGTTGGTCCAATCCTAATTCGTAGTCTGATACAGGTTTTACAAATTCGAATAGTCTACTCAGATGATCTCGGAGACTCACTATCTTGATACCTCAGTAAGATGCAACTTGTATCGAACCTAATCACTCGACATAAATTTACTTTGCTGCCAACTAAATGTCTTGAATGTTACGTTTATTAACAGCGGCAACAGAGGAATAATAAATGTGAAAAATTTATTGATAACTTTCGATACATTTTAATTATTCGATCTATTTTATTTATATGTATATATAAATATAGATTAAGTTATATGTAAAACAAATCTTCAAGGATGGACTATCCCGAGTCGAACATGCCGACACCCAGCAGTAGATTCCTGCGTGAAAAATGCAGCGCCAGGACAGATGAACTTTTGGTCGCAAAGGTACGTAGTAGATAAGACTCCGAGTTAGTTTTTACATCTGGATTATGGGAAACGTTGACGTCCTCCAAGCTCATCTCCTCCGCCAATTTTGTGAAGTCCCATAATTTCAGCGTGCAATCTAACGAACCTGAACAGAATGGCACGATCGATTGTCGCCTGGTATTGCATTTTCCGTTTTCGTTTGGTCCGCATAAATGTATGGGTGGTGCAGGTACCTGAGACTAGAATGTTGCCGTCTCGACTGAACGACAGACAGTGAATGTTAGCCGTGTGGCCGGACAGAGCTGCGACAAGATGGCCGTGTGCTAAATCCCACATGAGCACACGGTGGTCCGCGCCGGCCGAAGCTAAGAATCGTCCCTCTGTTGAGAAAGCTAGGGAGAAAATCGGCCCTTTGTGCCCAGTCATCAATCGGACTTGACTGCCACCCACGCAATCCCACAATCTCACGGTCATGTCGCTTGAGCCGCTCGCAACGTAATTCGAATTTGGATGGAACTGAATTACCTGTGAAAATAACGGGACATAACAATTGATTGTCCGACGATCGAACGAACGAATTGACGCCGGGGAATGTCGACTCACATCAACATCCGAGTAATGGCCGGCGAACATTCGTAGCGGTTGATGAGAGTCGGTCGCCCACAATCTCGCGGTTTTGTCACTTGACGCGCTCGCGAAGTAATAACCGTGCGGTGAGAATTTCACGCACCACACGGGAAATAGGTGACCCTTGTAGCAGACGACGCAGGTCCATGTGTGCAACGACCATAGTCTTACTGAAAAATCAAAATGATTATACCAAAATTACATCAATTTTTATTATATAAACGAAGTCTTTTACTATATTTAAAGAATGAAACAGAATGTTTCTAGACGCAAAGAGCACATTGTAGATCGGGTTCAAGTCTCACTTGTAGTATCCTCGGATGACGAAAGCAGCAGATTTCTATCTGGACTAAACGAAAGGCTGTAAATTGGTCCACTGTGGCCGTAGAGATGCTTCGCAGTTTCAGACGTTCGATCGTCCATCATTCTGGCCAATACGTCCCCTACAAAGTTTGTCCCAATATACGTTTCGGAACGATGTAAATCAGAGAAAATAACTTCCGCCTCGATTTCGACGCGCTACCTGACTCTCTATTGACTTCCTGTAATTGCTCGCCCGTTTTCATCAGCCTCAGTTTTTGTGGGACTAGACTCCATACCTTTATGCCGGAATCGCTGAATCCGGTGGCTAATAGGCTCGAGTCTTCCGCTATTTCCGTCGCCGTTACACTAGACAAGTCACTTTGCAAGTGAATATTGAAGAGGAAAATCTGACCGCGTATACTTACGTATAAGTAGTGTTCAACAATGTATAAAAACATATGGACGGTAACGTGTCGGGTCCCAGAAGAATTCTCTTTGACGCCTCCCTCAGTGCCTTAATTTTTTCCTGTTTATCTACGTCTTTTCTAAATTCAAGACATATAAATTACTCGAGAGATACAGAAGGCAGCAGAGGTAAGTTTCATACAATTGTTACATGCAAGATATATCTGTATTACAGATTAGGCAAGGGCATTCTGCCCATTGGCGGCGCGTTCGGGTCAGACTTGGTCTTCTTCGAAAACAGCGGGTCCTTCTTCGCTTTTTTCTTCTTCGGCTTGTCCCCGTCGTTGTCACCACCCGTGTCGTCCTTCTCTTCTTCGACTGGCGCTACGCACTGAATATCAGGTTCCTTCAGAAGTCCGTAATAGACCTTCGCCTTGTTATCTACATTCCAACAATTTTGTTAACATTCCTCTCTGCAAAGTACAACTTCTCTGTCGGGGGACGCGAAACCACGTTACCTTGCCTGGTGGCCTCTCCCACCGTTGCGCCAGACGTTGCTTCTATCTGCTGTTTGTTGCGGGCCACGCCCTCGTACATATCGAAGTAAAGATGCTCCTGTATGATGTTCAGCAGAACGCTATGTTTCTTCTCTTGCAGATGCCGTTTCAGTATCGAAAGGGTGTCCCGCGACATTCTAATTATAAACTGATTGGATCTGCAAGTATACGCAAGGTAATATTTAATATTTATTATTACGTTTAAATTATAACGTTGATTATATCGCTCACTTCTTTGCTTACTTAAAAGTGTCAGTCAATTCGTTCCCTGCCATCTGCTCACGTTTCGTTACGTTGGACAATCTCTTCAAATCATCCTGGTAATACTCTTCTATGTTCCCACTGAACTTCTCCATGAGCTGCTTCGCTTCTTTGGAATGATTATTGTAAACCAGTTCCAAATACATGTGCACCAAAACCGGATACAATATCGTTCCCAACTCATGCTGTAAAATATATACTGGGTGTCGGCGAATGTTTGATTCGTTGCCGCACATGTTGCCGCAGTTCAACAAGTTTTTGGAGTTTTAGGCCGGTATTCACAGTCAGATCGTGTATTCAACAACGTCGTGAGATCGTCTTTAGACACTCCGTAGCCAACGAAATGTTCCATACATAAATCGCTAGATTTTCCATACATAAACCTTAGATAAATTCAAGACGGTCTTGAACGCAAGAGCTGACTATGAATACCGGCCTCAGCTTAGGACGGTGATTTGTTGTAACTGACAACTCGTTGACTGTTGCAAAAATTGCAAAACGGTAGAGGACTCTTTGACTCCGTTCGGTCTGACGTATCTACGGCAGCTTTGGCGCACCTTATAAATGTCCAAAGCTCCTTCTACAAACTTCTTCAATTCGCTATACGCCTTTTCATACTGCGCAGGGTCTCCCTCGCTTTTGTAAGCGGAAAGGACGCTGGTCACATCGGAATCAGATTGCTGAGCGTCATCCAACGAGACGTCCGTGAGATTTGCTTCCTTTCTAAACAATTCCTCGGTTCCCTAAAGATATAAAGCGACAAGTATCGCATCTGCTTCCAATCGCGCGTATGAAGGGATTTGTCGCAGGTCCGTTTTTTATTTTTTAAATAAAGCAGCGATGAGAAAACGAACTTTACATTTCTCGTGTGTATACAACAACAAACGCAGGTTAGGAGGTAGACCGTTTTTCGACTCACCTTGAAATTGTGCTTCTTCAAAAGCTGCAGAACAGCGAGCATAGTACTCTTATCGGTATCCATATTTACACGATTATCTTTATTAACAATCAAAAGAAAACTTTCCCGAAAAGCCTCTCACGAAAACATAACCCGCACTTCCGAGACCTCTCCGGCGAAACTGATGCCAACTGACGGGCGACGGCACTCGTGGTTTTTTTTTCGACTCTTGGTTCCTCGCCGGAACGCCACGTGGCGCTACAATCTGCGAGTCGCAGAGTCGTAGTCGTAAGAATACTCGGCTGCGATTGGTCAATCTCGCTAGACGCATATTAAAGCCTCCGCTACAATGGGTTTGTTTTCTGTTCCTGCACTGGTGAACTAGTGCAGTAAGCTAGAATGAGAAAAAATATGCTTGTCTTACTCCAATTTATTGCACTAGTTCATTAGTGTAGGAACAGAAAACAAGCCTAATGATTCTCGGTTCTGTCTACAATGGTCGTAGTCGTAGTCGCTCGATAAGAATTGACCAATCGCAGTCGATTATTCTTACGACTACGACCATTGTAGACAGAACCGAGAATCATTGTAGCGGAGGCTTAAGAATTGACCAATCATAGTCGATTATTCTTACGACTACGACTTTACGACTGCTATGTAGACGAGGCTTTATAAAGCCAATTTCAAATTTATGCCCATTCTACACCTAGGGATGATCCTACTTGTGGCTCATCCGATACTCGCTTCTATACCTAAAGCTAAAGGCCTTCACACATAAAATTCCGTAAGGACGTAAAACGTAAGCATAAGAAAATCGACCAATCACAGTCGAGAACGTAAGGCAATGACGCAAGCAGTAGCAAATCCAACCTGTTGATTTTCTTACGCTTACGTTTTACGTCCTTACGGAATTTTATGTGTGAAGGCCTTTATCCTACTTACAGCTTATCCGAGGAAGTAGTATAAAGTGTAAAAGGTACACTGTAGTTGTACTTTGGTACGATTGGAAACCAACCAAAGTGTAAACCTTTTACACTTTATACTACTCCCTCGGATAAGCTGTAAGTAGGATTAGCTTTAGGTATAGAAGCGAGTATCGGATGAGCCACAAGTAGGATCATCCCTAGGTGTAGAATGGGCATTAGTTAGAGCTACGAATTGAAATTTTCAAATAGCAGTATCATTTTTATCAGACTTCTGAACTGAGTGTTTTTATGAAAATGTTCCGCTATGCGGCCCGCAACTCATCCTGGTATTATTTTGTGCATGAAAGCTAATAAAAAGAATTACAAGCGCAAAACCTATATTTAACTGTGTCGGTAAAAGAGATGGCTGAAGGATTCGCTTAATCGAGACGCAATCGTCCGAGAAATAATAAAAAATTCGACGTCACACAAGTATTTTCACTTATAAATTGCATAAAAACTATACAAACTTGTGGTATTAATAAATCACCGATAAATGCTAATTAATATTTCGTGTATTATTTCGCGCTTTCAAAATAAAATAACAAAAAATTACAATACATCGATCGCTCGCCAAGAAATAATCTCTAACATTATTGCATATAACATTGCGCGTATAACATAAAGTTTCCGTTTTCGTCGCGTTCAGGAGTGCCGTTTAAATAATCGCAATAAAGACTTCAAAACGAACACGGCGATCAACCGATACCGAGGCAGAAATGATAGCCGTTTATCCGTGAAAATCAACGGAGCAGGTACGGCGTATCTTTTTTCATTATTCGTCACAGTTATGTTTATGTTTTTATGTTATGTTTTTCAAACCCGCGCGTCGCTCGGCAAATGTTTACGTCGAGCCGCCGCGCCGCCGACGACCGCCGCACGGTCAGAGAACGTTCGCGCTTCGCAGTATCGTTCGAGCCGCCGGTACGCACGCCACGGGGCGATGTGCGCGATCGTTTTCCGCGTAATTGAGCGACGCCACAACCGCGCGATCGAGCCGATCGATTTCGCGAGTGCCGCGGGACGTCGTTTCCGTTTCTCGGAAGAGTGAAACTTCGCTGTTTGGATATTCGAGATACAGCGTGACGCGCAGTGGTGCCGCGCAGTGGCCGCCGGGAACGGCGCCATGTTAGACCATTCGAGAAGCATCCGTGGACACGCAAGCGGATCGGTGTTGTGCGATGGTCGCGGAGTTTCGCGGTACGCACAGTCGCGGTAAGTTTAGCATTGTCCAGTGTAACAATCGCGCGACGTGGACTCGACCCTCGCGCGTCGGTATCCTCCGAGACGCGTACATCTGGGAAATCTCGGCCGAAATCTGACGCGCGGTCGGCGTCGCTACGGTGCCGTCGTATCCTCGCGCGTCAAGGGTACACCGAGTTCTCCAATCTTGATCCGTGTCGCCTCGCGCGTGCAGTAATATCCGAGTTTTCCACGCGTGACGACGAGGGGAACGTTCGCGCGAAATCGTCCTGTCGAACGCGACGCGCGTCAAGTTAGCCTCGCACATCTCCGCGAGTCCTTTCCGCCGGAACGTTTCCGCCATTTCGCCAGATTCGGCTCGTATTTCAGTGCGCGATTGTCTCTCGTTATCGTTCCAGTGACGTCCGCGACGATTAACGTCGGGAGTGCCGTGTCGTGCGTTAGTGCGGTAATTAGCTTCTCTTTCGCGAGCGAGTCCTTCCCGCCGGAACGTTCCCGCCATTTCGCCAGATTTGGCTCGTATTTCAGTGCGCGATTGTCTCTCGTTATCGTTCCAGTGACGTCCGCGACGATTAACGTCGGGAGTGCCGTGTCGTGCGTTAGTGCGGTAATTAGCTTCTCTTTCGCGAGTGTTGTGTTGTGCCAGTGCAAAGTGGAGGAGTCTGAAGGCAACCTGAGTGGAGGAGGAGGCCTGGAAAAGGCATCGGGCGCCGGCGGAGCAACTTTATGGTAACTATTTGTTATTTCGTATAAAATTAATTTGCCTCTCGTTTATTTTAAATAATTAAAAAATTACTTTCCCTAATATTGGTTTTCTTGAACATTGTGTTTTAATGCGATATTTATAATTATGTGTTACAGACGCAACGTAGTTAAACTCCGCTGCTGCGCATCGGTCGGTGAGTCCGAGACTTTTTCCTATCCATTTTTTATTCACATATTGGTATACATACACAGAGAAAACGATTTCTTAGGATTTAACAAATTTTGTTGTATCCAAACCAATTAGATATTTGGAATGGTCGAAACAAATCAATGTTTTAATTAATAAGTACGATAGTTTGCATTTGAAATAATATATTTCTTTGTCAGAAATAAAATATTTGTTTGAAACAAAAGTAATATTCTCTTCAATCTAGACGATATTATCGTTTCATTCAAGATCGCTTATATCTAGCTGCCGCGATTTTACTTACGAGTTCGGTGACCATCTAGTGGCAGCACGAAACTTTATAAACGCCTGGCCAAATAATATAACAATTTAATTGGAAGATATATTTCAAATAATAGTATTTTTCTATCAAATAATACAGGGTGTTTGAATAAAACAATACAATTTTTATTCAAAACATAATGTTTCGTATAAGCATATGTTGTTTTAATGAAACAGATTTCAATCAAATAAATAGGAATACTAAAACCAAAGAAACCTTTCTCTCTGTGTATAAAGTGAAATGAAGTGACGTGAGATTCTAAATAATTTGTCGAGTATGGTGAAATATTTCAAATTATATTTATACATTATTATTTTAATACATTATTATTTTATACATTTTATACGATATTCAGTCACAAGGGATCTCACGTCATTTATTCTATATGTCTTGTGATACTCGAAAGATGCGTCTCGCATGAAAAACATGCATGAATCACACGCATCTTCAGATTCTCGCGGTCGGTTTTCGCGATCGGTTTTTAAGAACAATGTCGGGAAATTATTACTTTCTCAATTTGATTATAAATCTTAATTTATCGAAATATAATTAAACTTACTTACATATAACGCGAAGTAAATTCTTTCTGTGTCTATACTTGAATTTCGAATTCAAAGATCGAGTCACGAAGAGACGGCCGGCACTCTCGAGTAAATAATGAAAGTAGAAATGTATTTGTTCAGCTTTCTGCAATAAAGTTTTTCGAATTAAAATACTTTTTCAATTAACTTCTCGTATTCGTGTATTTTTCGATACGATCGACGCTCGTATATAATCGTATATAATATATGTCGTACGTAATATATGTCGGTGACAATACAAACCGACTATGGAAGGAGTTTTCTTCCTTCCTGATCTCTGGTCAAAGTGACCAGACTGTATGGCCGGGAGCAACGAAAGGTATGTCCAATCTGGCCCAACGATGGAAAACTGGATAAAATAGCGTAAGTGGTCAATATTGGCCACTTTGATGGAGTATCTGAGTAAGGTGCTCTATGGAATAAATTGATTTCTTTTTATTTGCCAAAATTTGGGTGGGTTATATTCTCCTTTACATATTCTGGCGTATGTGCCAGATTAAAAAGACCCCTATTAAATTCTTATTAATTCGCGCGCGTTTAACCCCAAATCAGACCTCTTATAAATCGCGTCGCGTTTTTAACGAAAGACTTGTAGGTTTATTAACAAAAAGTTGAAACGCGGATAGGAAAATGGGTAGGACTATACATACACGGAATTCGGGTAGGTAGAGACATAATTCAATAATGAAAAAAATAGAGACAATTATATATATGTAAAAAAATATATATACACGAGTTCACGACGATCACCTGCGCTACTCACGAAACGTCATATCTTATTAAACGTTTTATATTATTTATGTGAATCAGTTATATCGAAACTAAATTATTATAATTGATCGTTCCACTGATCATTGACCTTTTTCGATTATAAATATCGTCAAATATATGTAGGTACATCGTCGTGATTATCCGTAAAAAGATGTTCAGTTAATGGTCCATAAATCAGGTTTCTTTTTCTAAGGTAAACGGCTTCTTTCGATAATTATTCGGTTCGACGAGTATTGCAAAATTTTAAGCTATTTTTCCTCACGCCCTATATACTTATTTGATTTTCTTTCGAAATCAATATTGAACAATAACCTTTATATTAAACAAAAATCTTTATCATTACCCAGCGAGAAATGACTCGTTGATTGATATCGAAACGATGTCGAATTATTTTTCACTGGGTGTAGATTCGCTGACTTTCTAATTAGAATTTTCGCAAAAACGCTCTTCTGCGAGCTATTTTCGCCGTATGTAGAAATATCTAAGGATAACTAACGGGCCAGAAATGTCTGAAAGAAAAGCTACCGAAACGTGTGACTCGTAAAAATAACTGTAAAGCATTCGGAATAAGGGAACTTCGTCAAGATGCTTTTGTTCGACAGTTTATTACATACATTGTGCCAGTATAGAAATATCATACAAATTCGAAGATGCTTGAACGAATTACGAAATATCAGATTTACATGATCTCTCTCTCTCTCTCTCTCTTTCTCCTCTTCTTTTTTTAACCATGTACGTACAAGAGAGCGGTGTACAACGGTCTTGTATTCGGAAAGGTTTGGCCATGCATATTGTGTTGTGCGGTAAATTTTCATTGCTGCTTCCGGCAAATAAATAGTTACGTCATAATCAATGTTACGTGCCCAAGCAGAACAAAAACCCACATAGTACGCATGTTTAAAATACATTTTAAAGATGTCTTTTAGACATACGTGTTGTTTGAGGAGTTATAATGACGGCGACGTGACGTTGAAGCGTCAAAATGACTTACAGTAACCATTCTGGAGTCACTTCGACGCTATTTTAACGTCAACACGTGACTCTCTGTTTTATCTCGATATACGCAGTTCATTGCGCCTCCCCCGTGTCGCTTAAGCAGGTTTCGGTATCAAAAGGTACGTGCAACAAAGCGTTTATCCTGAACGTCATTAGCTAACAATTCTGAGACGCGCGGCTAGAGAAAAACTTGCGAAAGTAATGCGTGTGAGTGGACCTCATTTCATTTGCCGTTTTCAAACTAAGCGAAAAGCGGCCGCTTTGTATTCCATGTCGCGAGAAATTGGAAACGTTTCCGAATATTTGCGAAGCTATCCGTTGTATTTGATGAAACCTTTTGTAATCGTTTCGTGCAAAAGTTGACCAGGACTCGGATGTATGCGTGAACCATTAAAGATATAATTAAAAATACTATTTGACGTAAAGATCTGCCCTGTAAAACAGATCTAAATGTATTTCTTTAAAAGATTCAAGACTAAGGACGGTATTCAGTAGTCAGATCTTATATTTAAGATTGTCTTAAGATCATCTTTAGATACTTCGCAGCCAATGAAATGTTCCACAGCATCCTAAGATGAGACTTAAGACGGTCTTAAACATAAGATCTGTGTCTATGAATACTCTAGTCTTCGAAATTCAAGACCTAGTCATTGAAAATTTTTTACATGATTTTCAACTCTTACGATTCGCGCATCACGAAGTGCATCTGCTTAAAAGCAGGAAGAAAGTAAAGGCGAACTTAACTCTTGGTTTATTTCAAAGATTAGGAATTCATTTAATTTCTAATAGACATACATATATATATCAAAAATTACACACATTTCCATATATATTTAAATATATTAAAAATTTAACGAGTTTCTAATCTTTGTCGCCTAGCATATAACATACAAATATATACAATATATAATATATAATATTATATATAATATATATATTGGAAGTTGGAAGATGAATTTCTGATAAAAATATTATATATATGTATTATATTATACATATATAATTAACTTCTATTAATCTTCCTTAATTGGCTCGCTCCTTGCTAGGCGATATCGATTGCACGATTAATCGAAATGTAATTTTCTTTATATCCGATATAAACGAAGGAGCACCGCTCCCTTGTGCTACCTCGGTAACTAAGCATAATCCACCCTTTAACAAACCAAGGCGTGCGTCGTACAAATACAAAGTCGCCTTCGATACAAACTTGAGAGATAACGCAGAATATCTACAACGATAACGGCAACATTGTCGCCGGAGACGATTAAATAAAACGCTATATGGCATTTGCAAGTCTTTTGCGAGTACATCTCTGCCGTTACGAAACTTAACATAACTTGGAATAATCAATGTAAATTTAGTGTGTGCCTACGTATATCCGTATATATACAGGGTATATTGTAATATGTGGCGCACACTTCAGAAGCGAAATCGAGAGGGCCCTAAAACAACGAAAAATTTCGTGCAAACCCGAAATTTATATGCTCGACACCACTTTGTTTCCACGGTGTGTAGCTATTTTTATATCTCCGCTCCGCCACTTTAATCAAAATGCGCGAAACTGCTTGAATGATCGATTCTCTAATAAATGGCTTGGTCGTGCTGAGCCCATTGTCTGACCTGCTCGCTCTCCGTGCCTAAATCCACTCGACTATTACTTGCGGGGCCATTTTGCTGCTTTGGTAGAAACCGAATGGGATCAATCTCGTAAACATTTAAATGGAATACGCCGTTTAAATGAAACGGTGGATTCCGCACGATTTCTGCAGTCAACGTGCCGTTATATTCGGTTAGCAGGTTCTCTTACATTTCTGCTGGCATTCTATCGACAAAATTTGCAACGGATACTCTCAAAATCTCTTCTCAATAGACTTGGCTGTACGGATTGCTGTAACAGTACAAAAATAACTTGGAAACAAAGCGATTTCGGTGTCGATGTGTTTACACGAATTTTTTTCGTCACTCAGGGTCCTGCATTTGTCTCCGAATGTATTCCACATGTTGTAACATACCCGGCATATATTCCGTTATTCATATTCTACGGTACAATTTGCGCCTGAGTACATCATGATTTAACATTGCTTAGATTTACAGCGAGTAGCAACTATGTACAGTGTATCTTCAGAGCACTGGATATCGAATCGCATCCCCTTCCCTTATATACAGGCAGTTAACGACACATGCGTACAAGCCGTTTACAAATCTCCCCAGCGAAATTGATATTATAATTTTACACAGGCGGCGAGTTTCCACTGTCACGGTGATAACGTAACGCAAGACGACAGTGAAACGCAGAAACGTCAGGTGTATTAGAAGTCAAAAATGATGGGAATCGAAATAACATAACGCTCGGTCTGGCCAGAATCTGGTTTTTATATCAATAAGCTGACAATATACAGGATGTGTTTAAGGTTCTTCAAACTTGTTCAAGGTTCCCGAAACTTGTGTTACGCTTAACGATTAGACAGTTGTTGTTCTCGTAAACGTTCCTCTGTAACATTTCAAAGAAGTTATTTTAGAACTGAAGCGAAAATACATTATTTATGTACGTCCAAGACAGCGACGTTGCCCCACTTGCACCCTCCTTTCTTCCGCCACTCGTGTCATGCTCAGCGTATTCGCCATTGTCGTTTTCGAGCCACTTTTGGTAGTAGAGCGGTACGAGTCCGTTTGATTATCGAAAGATCGATGAGACACCGCGGTCCTTTGGTATCCGTACTGTCCTTTCTATATCTGTGTGTATCACGGTATCCTCCCCGATTCCGCGCGGCCGCTTCATATCCTCCGTTGCAGGCATCTCGCCGTTACGGCGAGCACCACGACGAGGGTCGCTACGAAAGCGAAGGACGACGAGGGCGTGGTAGTTTTGCGTTCATGCCTCGCACGACACTATGGACTTCCCGTATCGTGGTGAAACGAGTCACTGTCACTCTCGACGTAGGTCACGTAGCTGTCGGTGCTGTCGGGATGCTGGCCCATGTCCGGTCCGCCGCCACCCGGATGATGAGGCCCCGGGGGCGGTAACGGTCCACCCCCGCCGTCGCTCATCGGTCCGCCGAGCATCCCCGGCGGGGGTGCCAATTGCGCCGGTGGTCCCCCGTGCAAGTCGTAGCCGTGCATCTGCAATTATTCCAATGATCGCGCTCAAACTTTCAACACCAATTCCTCGCGTTTTTCTACGAATATACAAATCACTCTCCCGCACACTCGTGTCTATTTACATTGTATAATGTAGCCGGACGTTTCCTCTCGATAAATCATGCCCGCGAAATATGTTTCGAGTATGGCGCGTTTACCTGGGACACCAAATGGTGGAACGACGGCGCGCTGGGATCTAGCCGGTCCAAGTCCGTATGAAGCGCAAACTCCGAAAGCGCTTTCCACGGCGGCTGATAGGCCTGGACTTCCAGAGGCGTCATGCCGATGGGGCTCTCGTGTCTCACGGGGCTGCTGGCAACCATGGGTATGCCATGCATGCCGCCGAAGCCCAATTTACGCCCGTCCTGAAATAAAAAGCGCTTGGTTCCATTAGATCGTTCATCGAGATATCGGCGTCTCGTATAGAGTGGCCCATTTTAAATACCCACTACGAGTATCTAGAAAGGACGGTGTTTTTAACAAGATATTTCGAACAATTGTGCGTTGTTCGATCTCGAAGGGGGGGGAAAAGTTATGCCAGTCATTGATTCTTGGACGTTGACGAAGGACGCAGGTTAAAAGTTTTTAATAGAAATCTACGTTTTTACCGCGTATCTTTTGTATGTAGCTGACGTCGAGACATTTTCAAAATGCTGATGGTGGTTCCATTTGAATGGAAACGTTCTAACATAAGTTTGAAACTGCCAAGATTTAAAGTAAAGATACACTTATACAGGGTGTCCCATTTTAATCGATCACCCCTCGTAACTTTCACCCTGTATAGTGTTTTAAGTGCCTATCTAAATTATCTTAAAAGAAACTACCTAAAAAATGTCCAGTTGTTTTGAGGAATCTATGGTTTAGGGGGTTCTAAAGTCATCCGTTTTGCCAACTAAATGTTTCTTTTTTGTACAAACACTTTTTATGTATTAATTTGATATAATTAAATATTTTCATCCACACATAGTTCAGTTGGTATATGTTAATATACGCATTAATGCATGTCTGAAATATGCATTAAAGTTTGCAAGTTTGAGCGACTGTTTTACGAGTAAAATAACACAGTAGAAGCATTTATGGATTAGTTATTTATTTTTAGTGTTACAACAGACTGTATTATTTGTGTGTTATTTTACTAATAACATTATATACTAGAGGCATCTCATTTTGACGTGAACTGCGATTTTATTAATATTACATGCCTCATTAATATTACATGCAAAGCATGGATATCATTTTAGAGCCAGCCGCAACAATAAAAAATGCAAATTAATTGATGCATTCAAACTAATTCAAATGCAACTGGGAAGAACTATCTTGTTTTTTAATTACTAACAAGGTATTTTCTTAAACGGATATAGAGGAAAGTACCCCTGTGAAGTTAGCCCCCCATTATTTAAAATTTTAACTTTTTTTACGAGTTCCCTATAGATTTACAATAGTTCCAGAGTTCTTGATGGGTTTAAGAAATAGTTCTGCTCATTAAAGACGTTAAAATGAATTTTTTAAAATGGGGGCTAACTTCACGCAGCTCCCCATTTTCGTAAAAACAAATTTTTCAATGGAGTTCTGGATAGATTTCGCATAGTTCTAGAGTTCTTGGTACATTTTAACAATAGTTCTGCACGAGAAAGTAAAAAGAAACGAAGTTGAAGAATCAAGAAACAGTACCCCAGAAATAGGCAACTAAAAGTATTAATGTAATGGAATTTTGCCATTAGGATTTTCGATAGAACTCTGCGGGGGCTACCGGGAACTCTCAACAGAACTGCCGGAACTGTGCAAAAAATTTTTCGGGTCGTCTTATAAGACAGAAACGGGTCGTCTTACAAGACCCGAAAAAATTTTTGCACAGTTCCGGCAGTTCTGTTGAGAGTTCCCGATAGCCCCCGCAGAGTTTTATCGAAAATCCTAATGACAAAATTCCATTACATTAATACTTTTATAGTTATGCCTATTTCGGGGGTACTGTTTCTTGATTCTTCAACTTCGTTTTTTTTACTTTCTCGTGCAGAACTATTGTTAAAATGTGTAAAGAACTCTAGAACTATGGAAAATCTATCCAGAACTCCATTAAAAAATTAGTTTTTACGAAAATGGGGGCTGCGTGAAGTTAGCCCCCCATTTTAAAAAATTCATTTTAATGTCTTTAATGAGCAGAACTATTTCATAAACCCATCAAGAACTCTGGAACTATTGTAAATCTATGTATAGGGAACTCGTAAAAAAAAATTAAATTTTTAAATAATGGGGGGCTAACTTTACAGGGGTGGATAGCGGGGTTTCTGTTAAATTAATAAGCATCATCAGTTGGTTCCACCACGAATTTATTGCCCTTGGAGGGAAATCTGTTTAGTGGAAAATTCATTGTTAGATTGTGTAATCGTTGCGAAACTAGATTTGTGATTGAATTTGCATGTTGAAAACCTATTGTCTCATAATAGAGGACTTTCCTCTATTAAATATTGCATGTGATAGTGTATCAAATGCACGATATTCACGATATCGATACGTTTGTACGATATTTAAAGAGAAAAATGACATTTATTTCCCAAGAGATACAAGTCTCGAAACGATTCAAACCGACCTGCGTATATTGTTGAAGTTATCTTTCGTTACAACTAGAGCCTTAGGAAGAAATCCGTGCAATAAACAACATTTCGAAACCGTAAGAAATATAAGGCAGTGCCTCGTAAAATATGATTAGAGTTGTATAAATAATCTCATGAGATAAAGACCTCATTCTTGCGTCAGAAAAAACGGAATAAATTTCGAATTATAATGCATAAATTCATGTTACTTCATATAGTAGGTATTTTCAATGAATAATCTCAAACACGTGGCCGATAGTATATGAACAATATCTTGATCGACAGCATCCGGATCGTCGAACTATTTCTAGAATTGAAAATCACTTACGCGATCTAGCAAGATAACTCTACAAAAAAATGCTAAATTGACTCGATGCTAATTGATGATAACGATTAAACGTGTTGTGAGCTCGATCAATTCAGAAATAAGTAACCAGGGAAATTAGAAATCAATTAGGGACTCGTAAAACAACCCGTTGAATTTTAAAATCTCTTAAACATCAACTGCATCATATTATCGTTCACCAAGAATTACATGAAAGAGATTTTATTAACAATATTGCACGCGGGTTTTAGAATAAGCTGTGGCCAAACCTTTTCCATTTTGTTCTTTTTAGTCATAAGGCAAGCTTTTATAATGTCTCTAATAATTACATCTCTCATCGCTATCGATCCGATTAAAAGTCTATTGTATATTGGCCCCGATAAATCTACGGATAACATCATTGGACATCATTGGAAACATACATAGGCAAAAAGATGTAAATTCAATCTTCACATAATCATGAAAATGCCAACGATACTTAAGCATTTAAAAAGTGAGTTATCATCAGCTGTGAAAATGTGTAAAATAAGGCAAGCACAAAAAGCTTTTATTTTAATAAGTTAAGATAATTTTTATCTAAGGGTGACATTACTCACATTCCTAATTCCCTTTATCCTTAAAAGCGAGCTGTCATCTAACATTTTTTAAACATTTTTCGAATAGTACGTCTCTCTTGAGATAATTTAGAAAGAACTTAAACTGATATGTACATCCTTAAACTCTGACAGAGAGTTCTTAACTCGGTAATCTTTCAGAGTTTAATGTTTTCAATCGTAAATACACCGTGAAAATCTTAATGATCAAGTCTATGAACTATTTGTGACTTTATTTTATTAGAAACTATTTTATTAGGAATAGACGAAAATCTTCGGGGCAAAATGCATCGGGCACGAAAGTGTTCCGGAAAATATTCATCAGTATTAATGACAAACTTCACCGAACATACCACTTAAGAGATTAAACTAGCATTTTGAAAACGTTTCGACATCAATTATTACAAGGATATGTAATAAAATGGAGATGTTTGTTTAAACCTTCCATAATCTTAACTTGATTTTCACAACCATGGTCAAATATGTGGCGTAACTTTTCTTTTGAAAATGCCTTTCTTTTCAGATACTCGAAGTAAGATGTAAAATAAGTCACACTATGTTCATTTATTTGATTTATAAGTCGCAACACTAGTGGCGAACAGAAAGGCTTAACATGATAATACATTCGAGTTTATTCTTAGAAAAAAGTACGAGCAATTACAAATTTTAGGGAAATGGCACTTCGATTGTGTATCACGAAGTTGCGGCAAGAAAAATGAATGTTACATGAACTAAAGAATTATAGCAATGTAGTAATCATTTGTAACCATTTGTGGATACACTAAAGAGTACAAGAAAGTAGTAAAATATTTTTATTAACAAAAATATTATTGATATTATATTACGATTATACAATATCAATTGCGGGAATATTTAAATTCCAGAGTTATGACATTATAATAGTTGCCAGAACTCTTTCGCTTTCATCAAATGTGGTCGAACAAAATACGATTTGCCATAGTTATTGTGATGTAGTGATTCGACAAACGATAATACGCAGCTTCTTGTCTTACAAAAGTAAATTTCTGAACAATGCCGTCCCCAAGTATAAGCTCTAATCCATTCAAAAACACATTTATTTGTCATACATTTCGTAGATTGAAGCGCCACGTTCATCGTGAAAATAATAGCAAGCCCATTCAGGGGATGCTGGAGTAATTCTGCACCTTTTGCATCTAGAACTGTTAATTCATGAAAACAGTGTGTAATGTACGAATTATGTGGCTTTTGTGTACAGACCAACTATAGTTTCCACTAATCGGATTAAAACAGAGAACAGCATGGTGTCATTGAAATTAAGTTTAGAAGTCTAACAAAAGATTCGGTTACCTAACTTAAAACTTATTCGAACGAATAGATTTGTTACATACATAAAAGCCACATAATTTGTATGTTGCACAAATGTTTTCATGGATTGACAGCTGTAGGGGTGAAAGGTGCAAGAAGTGTCGAATCGTTCCAGCTTCCCTCAAGTCCGTAACAGACTACTCGTCAGAGACGGAGAATTACGAAAAAAAGATTAGAATTTGACCAATCAAAGAATATTAATTTTAAATCAAATTTTAATCCACCATTTCATTATCTGAATTTTAAATCTCTAATTCGCAATCTTCAACCTTCCATGCGTAGTCTAATACCCCTGACTTCAGCTGATTTATAGAATAATTCAGTGCTATACTTATAACTGTGAATCAATGAATATTCACTGTTTTCAGTGATAATCCACTGATTGACTTTTAGGCCGGTATTTATAGTCGGATCTTATATCCAAGACCGTCTGGAATTTATCTAAAGATGCTACACGGAACATTTTATGGGCTACGGTGTATCTAAAGATGATCTTGAGACAGTCATGAATATAAGATCCGACTACGAATACTGGGCCTTAGAGAGTAGACGATGTCGTAGCTCGTTACCTTCTCCTGCATCTGCTGCTTCATGGCGATCGTCTTCTTCTTGTCTTTGCACCTCTTGTTCTGAAACCACACCCTGATCACGCGCGGACTCAGCCCCGTCATTTCGACGAGCTGCTCCTTCATCAGGGCGTCCGGACGGGGGTTCGCGGCGTAGCAGGTTCTCAGGGTGTGCAACTGCTTCTCGTTGAGAACCGTGCGCACCCTCGTCGGCTTTCCGTCGGAGCCGCCGCCACTTTTGTGGCCACCCGAGCCGCGAACGCCGCCGACGCCTGCCTTGTGCGACCCGCTCTCAGATCCGGAATCTGCAAGCATAAACCTCGAGAGTTCTCCCTCGCGGTGGCCACCGAGCTGCGCTAAACGAATACGTGTTCTTTATTTAACAAAATTTAATGTCTCAATTTATCTAACTAAATTTAATGTCTCAATTATATATAAACAAATTGTAGGACATTTAAAAGGTATTACGTGTATCATTTTCTAAGGAAACTAAACTAAAGTGTAACGTACAAGTAATATAAAGACAAAACCGTATACGGAGAGAATTTTCTCGTAAAATTTACCCTGAAAATTATGTAATCGTGGGACAACGTGGCATTTCGGAGAATTTTAGGAGTTTTTTAAATTTTACCATTCTTTACCATTACATTTTTTTTTAAGTAAAATGTATACTCTCTAAATTTTTTTGAGCGAAATCTCACTCTTTTGGAGCTCGAAGAAATAATGAAAATACTGCCAGTCCGAATGGAGTGAACTTTCACTGTTTGAAAGAGCGCCATTATTCACTCTTCACTTGGATTGATTCTTCAACTCTGAAAAGAGTGCTATGTTTCACCGTAATCGTTTATTGTTAGCAGTAAAAAAATCCTACTGTTTGTTGACTATGATCGTATATAGAGCCTGTACTCTTAATTCACAGTCAGCACTGAAAATCTATAATTTTGGCGACGGTTTCGCTTATTCTGCTAATTGTCGAGGAAGAACCGTCCCGGGCTATCGTGACCTTAGGAGTTCAGCGCCCCTATAGTGGCGGAATACCGTAATTTAAGTTGGAGTGAATTTTGGAACTTCACTTTTTGCCTTAGAGCGAATCAATTCACTCGAATAGAGCGAAGTGATTCGAATCAAAGTTTCACTAAAAAAAAATTTTAGAGAGTATTTAAAAAAAACTCATAAAATTCTCCGAAATGCCACGTTGTCCCACGATTACATAAATCAGGATAAATTTAAAGAGAAAACTCTCTCCGTGTATACCTGAAATATTGATCGGCAATCGCGTTTGCGTAAGTGGGTGTCGATAGTTCGCGGGGAGAAAAACAGATGTATCAACGGGATGGAATGTTTTTCGCAAGAAAACAGCTAATTAGTTAATCTAATAGGCGGACTGGGGGAAGAGGTGTCGTCATTTTTATGGTGGCAATAAAGTGACGTAGGCGCGCGAATTGCTCCGACTGCGAAATGGCGAAGGGAGGAGGGGTAACGCGAGTACGAGGCGATCGTAAATCTCCCGCCAGCACTCGCCAGCTCTTCCGGATTCTTCGTTAACGTTTCTCTCGACGGTTACAAAGGGCGAGCGTGTGCGGTTTGCCGGCCTGCGTGCCCGCCTCTCTCGGCGAAGATTTATCCGCGAGGGAGTCGCGTCCTCCGCGAGACGAAACGCATCCCGGGCGTACGGGGGGTACGGAAGAATGGAGCGCGCGATACCATTCCGGACCCGCGACTATCTTCCCAACCGGTCTTGCAAAACGGTCGAGCCCGGCTAATGGGAGATCCGGATACTGGTTCAGCATGGCGGACCAACGGGGAGGCGAAGCAAAAGGTACCGACGCGACGATCGCCTGCGGGCCAGCGCTCGACACAACAGTCAAGAGACAATATTGTCGATGGGCAAACGCGGATCCCGTGCTCATGCGATTCCTTGATCGGCCGCGCGACCTTGGAACGAATCGCGGAACGTTTGCGCGGGGAAACATTCGTGGCTCGCGAGCCACGGACGGTCGCGAACGCGTGACGTTTTATTTGCGAAAGGTGGCAGAGGCTGTCCGCTTTTTGTCAAAAAGCAGTCGCGTTGTTTAATCTGCCCGTCCGTCTCGTGCTCGCGGAATCTTTCCTCGAAGATACACCTGGGATTTATGTTTTTTTTTTTAACAAAAAGGAAAGAAAATAAGACAGTAAGACGAAAATCTTTATCGACGCAAACAAATTTCGCGAGATGACTGTCAATATAGCATTATATACTAATTAAATAATATTTTTTAAAGAGAAGTATAATATACGCTTCAATAAGACTTTTAATTTATCAAACTATTCCGTCTAATAAATCTGAAGCGAAGTTTCAAGTATTTGAACGGCTCGATCGTTGCTGGTATGTACACGATGATCAAAGATCCAAAAGATACGGAATGTGTCGTAGAAGTCCTCGCGAGGCAATGAAGACGAGAAAATGAAATTAGCAGAAGTCGTTGAGGATCGTTTACAGGGGATTAAGTTAGATTATCTCAGTAATAATCTTGACCGTATCGCCGATATATTCTGGATAGCGTCGACGCCTTGGGTGTCGTGCCGTTCGAAATCTAGTAGATCCTCCAGCGGGAAGACGAAAAGTCAACGAGAGTACGCCACAAGAGAACAAACGAAATCCTATTTCTGTGTCCTAACCAAATAGCGGTCTTGGTTGGCATAAGCGAGAATGAAACCAGCGTTGACATGGCGGCACGACGATAAGAAGAGTGAACAGACTCTCGACCTTCGAAAAACGATCGTGTAAGATCGTATAGCTATCATATCGCATAGATTGGAAGGCACCTTCCTGAGAAAGAATGGAAGATACGCGACGACGATGCGCTCGGCATCAGAGGACAGTTATTTTAGAGCGTAACGTCACTCACCGAGGCTAAATTCCCTTAAAACGCGTGCTTTTAATTAATCTTTCACAGCGAGAGCCCGACGTTGGCGTGCGTTGGCGTTCAAACGATCCTGTCGAAAGTTTGTTTCTTTGCGCGTAAATAACTCGTGTCCTAATAAATTTGATCCTCTTAACGCCTGGAGTACGGCGAGCGCTCATATAATCGCGGGGCATAAATTCACAGGACCCGTTAAAAAAGGGGGGGGGGGAAGATTTAAGACCAGATTAGATACGGAGTTAACGGGAATTTTTGAAGAATTATTCTCTTGACATTGTGAATGAATTCTACAACACTAAAAAACAAAACAAGGGGGGAAACCGCTGAGGGCATTGTGGTGTACAGATTTGCGGCATTACTGGGCATTACTAGGCCTCTTTGGGCATTAGTTTGGGCATTAGGTCTTGCTGGGGCATTATAAAGATAAAATAAGATAAAAGAAGATGATCCAAGATAAATACAATAAAATAATAAGGTAATGCCCACTGGGCATTAGTGGGCATTGGTGTACAAGATTTTGATCAGCGGTTTCCCCCTCGAAGAAAAGACCTTACGACTGCAGCAATAATTTTCTAGGCACGAAGAAATAACTGAGATATGAATAGCCGGTTCTCTTTTAAAATTTACCTTGGAAATCATGTAATCGCGGGACAACGTGGCACTTTGAAGGACTATCCACTAGTAAAATGTACACTAATTATAATTATTAGTAGAATGTGTATGGTAAAATTGCAAAAACTCTCATAAAGTTCTGTGAAGTGCCACGTTGTCCCGCGAGCACATGACTTTCGGGATAAAGAGGAAAAAATTCTCTCCGTGCGTGTTTTGTATTAAATCAATTTAAATAACAGAACAGAATTTCTGTCTGAGCGAACGTTAGGAAGAAAGTCTTTCCGTGGCGCCCATCCATTATAACGTTTGATTGTGGTACATAAACAGTTGCATTCCTTACAAAGATCGTTCTAGCTGCGGTACCGAAATTCATTTCTATCCAATGTGATTGACTGATATTTAGTCATGAAATCTAAACCTTCCAAAGAGCGGCATTACTAGAATGTCGTTGCTATAAACTTTGCAGGCTACATACAATTTTCCAACGGATACAAGAAATAGTGCAAAATTTTTGTCGCGGCACCTAGAAATCTACCTGCGTTAGTAAGATATGTTTTTGAGTGAAGAAGAGACCTCTGTGTGCTTAATTTTAACTTCCATTTTGCTCCTAACGTTAAAAGCACGGTAATAAGGCGAGATTGGAGCCTGCGATCTCGCGAGCGCCAAGGACGATCGTCGCTTCTCGCGGATCGGGGGCGATTTATTAGAGCTTATCGGCAATTCGACGGCTATTAATAACTCGACGACACGCTCGTGTGTCGCACTCGCGACGTCCCGTCCCGCGGGATATCCCCGGCGCGCTAATAAAGAAGACACGAATAAGAGGAAACAGATCGTGCGTAGTTATGCGCGACAGTAGTTGGCAGGGTGGTGTTACATTTGGCACCTCGGCAGCGCACCGAAGACAACGTCGGGCCGCTGCCGTCGGCACGAGGTGGTCCAACTTTTTCGTGGGTAGAGAACGAACGCTTGCCGCGCGAACGGCCGTCTCCGATGACGAATCACAATGACAAACACGGGACGACGTGCGCACGTCGCGCTGCCGCACACGGGTTATTTGCACGAAAATTAGTATATCGGGTAATTATGCCGACGTGTGTCCTTAGCATTTTGAGAGGGAAGAGCCCGGAGGGAGGGAAGAAACGGTAGCCGATCGGTCTCCTTTCTGCATTATTGTGTGTCGCCTTTCAAAAAGTTTATCCGTCTCCTCTCCGACCCTGATATCGGGAAACAAAAAAGGAGCATGCTATCGAACGTGGGCAGTCTTATCACTGTAATTCTTTTGACGCCCTGTATCGTACTTTGAAGCGTCACTTTGCGACATTTCGCCGGTGTTTACTTAATCGTTTGTCATTGACACACTAACCGATTTGGCAAATTAGCGAGTTGTAATCGCGACTGCCACCCAACGCGAAGGTGTGAAAACGAGTGAATACCAATCGCCTGGCGTTAACTCCCGTTGATTGTTGGTCAAGTCGCCTTTCCCCTCCCCGGGAGCCTAATTGCTACCGACTGCAATTCCACGTGCTTGTCTTTACACACGGCTAGATTATTTGGCGTCTGAATTTCGGTGGGCCCCGCACGGTCGGGTTAATTCGCTCGGCAGCAGGTCCAGCCGGTGGCGGAGCGTACGCGCGTTATGCTAGGCTACAGGACATTAAGCCCGTGTAATCCTGACGTGTAGGAGGGTAGTGGTCAAGCCTTTACGGTCTTAACGGCTTCAATTATCAACACCTAATTATACGTCGTGAGCCTAACACAACATAGGAGAGTCCCTTGGGCTTATCCTCGAGCGAGCGTCCTTTTGTAAATTTGGTCTTTGGGAACACGGATACACTGTGCCTGATAAGTCCACAGCCATATCCCCGGTCTCGCCGTATGACATGTCAGAAGCCGGATCTCTCCCATTTCACTCGGGCACGGGGATAATTTAATCTCAGAATCTCGATAACGGCAGCTAGGGACAACTGAGAGGCCGGAAATAACGACACGAAAAATAAATATTACGATAACGCCGGGGTCTTCCTCTTTCTTTTCGCTTCTCTTGAAAAATCGTGGGGTGAGGTGCGATTTTTCAATGACGCCAGTATCTTCGAAACGTGTCGAGTGTGTCGCGCGCGAAAGGAAAGGAAAAGAAAGGGGGGAGAGAAGAAAGGAGGAACGCAGCAGCCTTCGACGTATAACTGTGCTCTTACCTGACATCGAGCCGTCGTTCGGGTGCAGATGGTGATTGTTGTTCGTCAGAGAGGCGTTATTGTTGTTCTCGCTTCCGGGTATATTAGCGGCTCCGGTGCAGTGCTTACCGCCTTCGAGGACATCGTGATCGTGCCGACAGAAGAGGCCGTCCTGCCTCAGGGCGAACTCGTCGCCGGTCTCGAGCCGCCTCATGCAGGCGCAACAACGAAAGCACTCCACATGATAGATCTTAGTTTTCGCTCTCATCACATAGTCAGTTTTGCTAAAGCACTGGCTACACTTGTCGCACTTCGTCCCGAACAGCCTGCAACACATACGAGAGAAAGACATGTAGTTCGACCACTCGAACGAGCTCGCGAGATGAGGATTCTTGGATAGGAAAATCGCGAACAAGGCTCGAATTGAATTTTCTGAATAATTTGGAAAAAAACCCAACGAGAACGCGATGAAGGAATAAGAAGGTTCGAAAGATTAAGAAAAACTGAAGCGAACTTGGTCGAAAGACAGCGAAAGAATTGCTATCAAAATTTGACAGCGCCATTGTATAAGATTTGATTTAATATTTTTAAATCGCCTCCATTTCCAGACGATTGCTAAAACACAAGAATTGCACATCGATCTTTATTATTTTGTAATTAATTATTTATACGCTCTAATGACCGAATGAAGACACTTGTGACGGATTGAAGGGAAGTCTAGGTTCGAGCTCTAGGGTGATATTTTTCACTATAAATTCCGTAGTGATCTCAAGAAAGCTTATTAGCTTTGAAAACTAAAAGGTTAAATCGATTATCGATTTAATTATATTGAATTTGCTATCCCCACGAAACTGTATTTCAAAATCGACAAATAATCGACGCGCAGTTTACTAATTGCAAGCGAGGAAAAGTAAAAGTATAAATTTGCACAAAATATTATTAGACTTCCAAAGATCCAGCCCGACCGAAGGCAGCATTTTCTATTTACTTGCGGGATCCACACGTTAAACTTCAATGTAATAATCAATTATTTTGTTTATATTGATGCGTTTAGGGGAAAATTCCAAATTAATCAATATTAACGAAGTTAGTGCGACGGAAGTGCGCACGTTCAATTCTGATAAATTATTGACAATTGTTAATGTACATTTCTCATCGCGAAATAACCTGATTACTTCTTTGCTACGACTTTCGCGTCGGTATCAGTCTAAAGCGTGGTCTACAATGGCAGTAGGAGTAGTGGATTAAGGCTGTAAGACGTCGGAGTAAGCTTGTGTTTCCAGTG